GGTCCCTGTGCTTTGCTAAGCTTGTTCTAAGTAGGTGCTTTAGACCACTGAGCCATCTCACCAGCCCCTAAGTTGGCTTTCATACCTGTTAATTTTTTTTTTCTGTTGGCCTGATCAAATCATAATTTGTAAATTTACTGACATTTTTGAAGAAGAGCTTAGGCGGGGCTCAGGGGGCAGGCAGGGCCCAGTGCCGGGCGTGAGGATGCGGTACCTTGAGTGTGAGGACCAAGCTCATGTCCCTATGTCCCCAGGCTCCCGGCGAGTTTTCCGCAGCACCCCTAAATCGTGGGTTTTCATCTTAGCAAAGGAGACACAACCCGGCCTGCCAGTGATCTGGCTGGTCTTAGGTTGGGCCGTACCTGCCCTTGTATCATTTTACTTTTCTACTTAAATCTTCCCATCCCTGGGCCGGGGAGATGGCTCAGTAGAATAAGCGCTTGCCTGACAAACGCAAGGTCCTGAGTTCAATTCCTGGTACCGCAAAAGGGGGAAAAAAAATAAATAAAATAAATCTTTCCCTCCCTGACTTTGGCCCTACGATCTGTAGAACGTGTTCTGGTGCTGGTCTTGTGCCGCCGCCGCCGCCGCTGCAAGGGGCTCACTCCCTGGTGGGTGTGCAAGTGGTGGCTCGGCTGGTTGTCAGGTTGGTTTTGCTCTCAGTAACAAGCACCGAACAATATTCACGAACCGCCTTCCTGTGCACTTAGGGAAGTCCACGGGCTTCTTCTTCCTTCTTCCCAACACTCAGCATTGTTTATAAAGAACCCAGAATTTTCTGCTTGGTTTGTCATGGTTTTGTTTTTATAGCTTTCCTGTGTTTGTGCCGCAGTTAACATGGCTTTGCGCTGTGAACGCCACGCTCTGCGTTTGTGGTTGTGCCGACTGTTGCACGATTGTTTTTGCAGACGGCCCCTTCCCCTTTTGGGAGTCTTTATTCTTTTAGTAAGGAAGCGTAAGAAAACAAGACTGTAGGGCTGGGAGGTAGCTCGGCAGTCTCAGCGCCTGCCTGGCAAGCGCAAGGACCAGGGTTCGATCCCTGGTACGCATGCAGTGCCAGTTCTAGAGCCCCAGGCATGTTGTGCCAGCCACTGAAGCTGGGCGTGGTGATGCCTGTCTGTGATCCCAGGCAGGGGAGGAGGCTGAGACAGGAGGATCACTACAAATCGAGCTGTGTAGTGAGACCCTGTGCCAAATAAATAAGAGATTAAAAAAGAAAACAAAGGTGCAGAGAAGACTGCGGTCTCCTGGCCTCTGAGCCTCCCCCCCCTCCTGCCCAGATTGTGAATGCAGTGCCAGTGGGACCCAGGGCAATTCCTGCCGAAAGGACCCGAGGGTTGGCCACTGCGTGTGCAAGCCCAACTTCCAGGGTGCCCACTGCGAGCTCTGTGCCCCCGGGTTCTATGGATCGAGCTGCCAGCGTGAGTGTCGTCCCACTCCCAGTGCATGCCCCCCGGCCCTCCACAAGTGGTCCTCTGTGGTCCTGAGTGCAGGCTGCCTCCCCTCACAGCATGCCAGTGTTCTAGTCCCGGGGTGTCTGATGGCCTCTGTGACCCTGACTCCGGCCAGTGTGTGTGTCGCGTAGGCTTTGAGGGGGCTTCCTGTGACCACTGTGCCCCTGGCTACTTCCGTTTCCCTCTGTGCCAGCGTGAGTAGGGTCTCCCCACGTGGGCATGGGAGGGGGTGTGCCTGGGGCATGGTCTGCCCAGGTCGGGGTCCTGTGACACATGTGCTCCGCAGTGTGTGGGTGCAGCCCTGTAGGGACCCTGCCTGAAGGCTGCGATGACACTGGCCATTGCCCGTGCCGGCCCGGGTTTGATGGCCCCTACTGTGACCGCTGCAGCCCAGGCCACCACGGTTACCCCAATTGCCAAGGTGAGACGGCTGGTGTGGGAAGGGAGTGGCCGCCTTTGTGGGCCTCGACCTGACCTCACGGTGCCCCTACAGCCTGCGCCTGCGACCCCCAGGGAGCCCTGGAGCAGTTCTGTGGGGCAGGGGGCTTGTGCCGTTGCCGTCCCGGCTACGCGGGTGCCGCCTGCCAGGAGTGCAGCCCCGGCTTCCATGGCTTCCCCACCTGCATCCGTGAGTGCCTGGGAGGAGGAAGGAGATGGGTGTGAGCCACCGTGGGCTGACCCCTGCCCTCGTTCCACAGCATGCCACTGCTCCATGGACGGCTCCCTGCACTTGGCCTGTGACCCCCGGACAGGGCAGTGCAGCTGCCGGCCTGGTGTGACGGGGCTGCGGTGCGACATGTGTGTGCCTGGGGCCTACAACTTCCCCTCCTGTGAAGGTGAGCGCGGTGGGGCAGGCGGGCGAGCTGTCCACACATCACGTGCTCCCGGGGTGTGCAGGTGTGTGCACTCTGCGTTCTGGAGCTGTGTCTGTGTGCCGCGGGTGTGCTCACCAGTGATGTCTGTCCTTGCGTCTGTGCTCTGTGAGTGTCCCTGCGGGTGTGCATGCATGTGTCCATGACTTGTGCCCCTGTGGTGTGTGCACACATATGTGCTGCTGGGGGGGAGGGCCTGCGCCTGCCTGCCTTCCCTCGGAGCATAGCTGCGGGACACGTGTGCGCCGGCTCCTGTGGGGATGTGCACTGGGGTCAGGCCTAGGGAGTCGTTGGCCCTCGGGGTGGTCAGCAAGGGGCAATCAGCTTCCTCATCTCTCGTAGCTGGCTCCTGTCACCCTGCTGGCCTGGCCCCAGCCAATCCCACGGCTCCTAAGGTGAGCCCAGGTCTGCCCATGGTGTGGGGGTGGGAGGGCCACTTAGGCCTGAACAGAAGTCCCAGCCCGGGGAGGCCCTAGGGCTTGGCTGATGGCAACCTGGAGCCTATCTGCTCTTCCCGTTGGTCCTTTGCCCCGGTTCCAGGTGACTGCCGGACACAGGCAGGCTCTGCCCTTTGTCAGGCTCCAGGGCGAGGGCAAGTGGGGAGGGCAGGGCCCGCTGTAACCTGCGGCTGTCCTTTCCAAGGCACAGGGCTCCTGTGTGTGCCGAGCTCACGTGGAGGGGCCAAGCTGTGACCGCTGTAAACCTGGCTTCTGGGGGCTCAGCCTCAGCAACCCTGAGGGCTGTACGCGTGAGTACCTGGAGGGAGTGGGGTGCTGGCTTGGAGGGGAGCCCAGGTCCGGCCTCCTTCCCAGCAGCTCTCAGGCCTGCTCTGCTCTCCACAGGCTGTAGCTGTGACCCCAGGGGCACACTGGGTGGAGTCTCCGAGTGCCAGCCGGTGAGTGTGGGTGGAGGTTCTGGCTACTGGAGGGGTGTTGCTGCTTCGCCCTGATCCCACTTTCTGTTGTGGCCCCAGGGCAGTGGCCAGTGCTTCTGCAAGCCCCACGTGTGTGGCCAGACCTGCACGGCGTGCAAGGACGGTTTCTTCGGGCTGGACCAGGCCGATTACTTTGGCTGCCACAGTAAGTGTCCCTTGTCTGGGCCTCAGACTGCATCCCTACTGTCTCTTAGATCACAGTAGGGACACGGAGAGTCCGGGAGGGACAGATGGGGTAGGGACTCAGGACGGACCTGAGCACAGTGAGGCCGAGAGGTTGGGCTGGTGTCCCTGCCAGGCCTGTGGTGGGGTGGGAGCCCACGTTGCCTGCGCACGGAGCTGACTGCATCTCGCAGCTCCATGCCACAGCCCTGCCAGACACTGCTAGGCCGTCCCAGTGCCTTGTCCCTCAGCCTGGGTCGCAGAGAGCCCGGGACCCCCTAGATGCAGGACACCTGGCCTTTTGGCCCTGTTGCTCCCCGTGAGAGTGGGTGGGAGAGGTCCTGAAGCAGATCAGGGTCACAGGACCTGACCCCTGACCCTTCCTCTGCCATAGGCTGCCAGTGTGATGTTGGCGGTGCGCTGGGCCAGGGCTGTGACCCGAAGACGGGCGCCTGCCGGTGCCGACCCAACACCCAGGGCCCTACCTGCAGCGAGTGGGTGTCCCATGGAACACACCAGGAGTGGGAGGCGCTTAGCCCAGATGCCCAGTGCCCCTTGCCACAGGGTCCCCTGGGGGTGCCTGCCCCTCTGATACCTGTGCCATGGCCAGGCCCGTGAAGGACCACTACCTGCCCGACCTGCACCACCTGCGGCTGGAGCTAGAGGAGGCAGCCACCCCCGAGGGCCAAGCCGTGCGCTTTGGCTTCAACCCACTGGAGTTCGAGAACTTCAGCTGGAGGGGCTATGCCCACATGGCGTCCATCCAGGTGGGCTGTACCACCCGTCCCGCTCTCGTGTGGAAATAGGGCCGGCTGTGGTCGGGCAAGGTGACCCTTCTGTTCGTGTCCACCACAGCCCAGGATCGTAGCCAGGCTGAACATTACCTCCCCTGACCTCTTCCGGTTGGTCTTCCGCTACGTCAACCGAGGGCCCACAAGTGTGAGCGGCCGGGTCTCCGTGCGTGAGGACGGCAAGTTTGCCCCCTGCACCAACTGTGAGTGGGAGGCTGCCCTGGCCCTCCCTGCCCTGCCTGCCCGCCTTGCCCCGCCCTCCCTGCCCTACATGCCCACCTTGCCCCGCCCTCCCTGCCCTACATGCCCACCTTGCCCCGCCCACCCTGCCCCTCCCATCCCAGCTGGTTCCTCTGGCCCTGCCCAGGGGTGGGGAAGCTGCAGGCTGGCATGCCCGGGTGCCGAACTCTCATGTCCCCCTCACCAGGCACAGAGCAGAGCCAGCCTGTGACCTTCCTGCCCAGCACCGAGCCAGCCTTCGTCACCGTACCCCAGAGGGGTCTTGGGGAGCCCTTTGTGCTAAACCCTGGCACCTGGGCCTTGCTTGTGGAGGCTGAAGGGGTGCTCCTGGTGAGGTGGGGGACAAGGTGGGACCTGGGCACGGGCCCTGGGCTGCAGAGCCTCAGTGTCTACTCGCTGCCTCCTCCAGGACTATGTGGTTCTCCTGCCCAGCGCCTACTATGAGGCTGCCCTCCTGCAGCTGCGTGTGACTGAGGCCTGCACCTACCGCCCCTCTGACCATCACTCTGGGGAGAAGTGAGGGGCCACTCAGAGGGCTGGGGTGGGGGCTGCGTGGGTGAGCCTTCCCCGTCACCAGCCCCATGTCTGGGCACCCTGCCGCAGGGGGTGCCGACTTCCGCCTCTGTTCCCTTAGCTGCCTGCTCTATGCCCACCTCCCTCTGGATGGCTTCCCCTCTGCAGCCGGGCCCGAGGCCGTGTGTCGCCAGGACAACAGCTTGCCCCGGCCCTGCCCTGTGGAGCAGCTCAGCTCTTCCCACCCCCCAGTGGCCGCCTGCCTGGGCAGTGACGTGCGTGTCTGAGGGCCCACAGGGTGGGAGATGTGTGGGGTGGGCTGGAGTGGGCGGCTGGGGGGAGGGGTGGCGTTGGCATTGAGCTTTGCTTACCTGGAGTAGAGAGGTGACCCAGTCTTCCCCTGTTCCTCTGCCCACCCTGCCCCCCTGCAGGTGGATGTCCATCTCCAGGTGACCGTGCCACGGCCTGGCCGCTATGCCCTGGTGGTGGAGTATGCCAACGAGGATGCCCGCCAGGAGGTGGACGTGGCTGTGCACACGCCCGAGCGGGCCCCTCAGCTGGGAGCCATCGCTCTGCATCCCTGCACATACAGGTGGGCCCGGAGCAGGTGGGGTGTGTGCAGGGCTGGCCCTGGGCTGCCCAGTGCTGACCCTCCACCGCCCCGACCAGAACCCTGTGTCGGGGGCCTGTCCTGGATGCCCAGCACCTCATGGCCTCCTTCTACCTGGACTCGGAGGCCAGCATCCGGCTCTCAGCGGAGCAGGCACGCTTCTTCCTGGTAAGGCCGCATGGCCTCACGGCCATTTGCTCCTACACTCCTGGGAGCAGGGAGAGCATCAGGTTCCTTCTCAGGGAGCAGCCAGGGTCCGTGAAAGCCAGACTCATCCCTGGCCTTGGGCGCTGGGGGAGGCAGCCATGGAGCCGGGTGAGTGGGGCGCCAGCCCCAGGGGACAGGCACCTGTGCCAACAGAGCAGCCTGGGCCTGCGTGGTGCCGGCTCCAGGTCTGGCATGTGCGGCCGCCTCTGCACAGAACAGCAGTGTCCTGTCCCTTCCTGCAGCACCGTATCACACTGGTGCCTGTGGAGGAGTTCACCGCAGAGTTTGTGGAGCCCCGGGTCCACTGCATGAGCAGCCACGGCATCTTCGGGCCCGGCAGGTAGCACAGCAGCCGACACAGGGCTAGGGGTGGAAAGGTGCCAGCCAGCAGGCTTGGACTCACCTTGTGCTCCCCCAGGGCCGCCTGCTTGCCCTCCCGCTTCCCGAAGCCGCCACAGCCCATCATCCTCAGGGACTGCCAGGTGCTGCCGCTGCCGCCCGGCCTCCCCCTGACTCACTCGCAGGAGCTCGCCCCTGGGGCAGCCCCAGCTGGACCCCAGCCTCGGCCCTCCACTGCTGTGGATGCTGACGCAGATCCCACCTTGCTGCGCCACCCCCAGGTGAGGGCCTGGCTGGGTGGAGTTTGAGGTGACAGCAGGGCCGGCATGGGTCCCCTCATCCCAGCCCTGCGTCCTCACTGGCGCCTCTCCCTGCAGGGCACCGTAGTCTTCACCACACAGGTGCCCGCCCTGGGCCGCTATGTCTTCCTGCTGCATGGCTACCAGCCAGCCCACCCCACCTTCCCTGTTGAGGTTCTCATCGACGGGGGCCGCGTCTGGCAGGGTGAGTGGCTTGGAATCCAGACGCCGTGGTGTTAGGGCCACGCATCCTGGTGCTGCTGCCAGTTCTCACACAAATCTGGGGCCACTGTGGGCATTTGCTTCTCCCTGGCTTGCACCAGGGAGGTCTCGTCCTGTGTGTGCCCCCCCGCGCTGTCCCCCGCCCCAGGATGCCAGCTTGCTTCTCTGTCACAGACCGTAAAGCGAACATTTGATGCAGTGCTCTGCCGAGCTGGGATCTGTGCCCTGAACGTTGCTGTGGGCTCTGGGGCCACAGGCTCGGGCTCCTGCAGCGTGTAGTGCTGCGGCGCATACTCCTTCGATTGGGGCAGCCCCTCCTCCTGGTGTCTTCACAAGCGCCCTGGGCCTGGGCAGGGCTGGAGAGCCGGGTGTGCATTTGGGCCCTGACCCTGCCTCTGCCCTGCCCCAGGCCACGCCAACGCCAGCTTCTGCCCACACGGCTACGGCTGCCGCTCCCTGGTGCTGTGCGAGGGCCAGGCTGTGCTGGATGTGACTGACAGCGAGCTCACAGTGACCGTGCGTGTGCCTGAGGGCCGGTGGCTCTGGCTGGTGAGTCCCTCTCAGACTGGCTTTCTGCCTGCTGCCACGATACAGAGTCTCAGGGTGTACCACCGCCTGTCCCACGCCCTGTGCTAGGTACACGAAGCAGCCTGTGCTGTAGGGGCCTCCAGGGCCACCACATCTGCTACCCGGCCTCTGGGCAGGGGGCCTTCCCGGAGGAGGCTGCTGTACCTTTACACTTGGATGCACAGATGCCCCGAGTGGCGTGGCTGTGGCCAGCTCCTTGTGTGGCTCGGCATCCTTGCCTGGGCTAGTGGGCTTGCAGCTGCCACCAGAGAGCTGGGCAGCCTGCCAGGCCCTGGCCTTGGGCGGGTGGGGGACGGGGGCGTCCCACATTCCGTGCTGCTGCCTCGGGCCCTGGCCGTAGTGCCCCGCTCTGGCCCCTTGCCTGGGCCAGCAAGCTGACAGGCACTGTCCCCTAGGACTACGTGCTTGTGGTCCCCGAGGATGCCTACAGCTCCAGCTACCTGCGGGAGGAGCCGCTGGACAAATCGTATGACTTCATCAGCCATTGTGCTGCCCATGGCTACCACATCAGGTGGGCTGCGCTCGGAGGGCCGGGTGGGGCTGGCTGGGCGGTCTCGCCTTACCAGCTGCTCCTCTTTGCAGCCCCAGCAGCTCGTCCCTATTCTGCCAAGACTCTGCCACCTCGTTGTCTCTCTTCTATAATAACGGGGCCTTGCCTTGTGGCTGCCATGAAGTGGGCGCCACAGGCCCCACGTGCGAACCCTTTGGGGGCCAGTGTCCCTGCCGGGCCCACATCATTGGCCGTGACTGCTCCCGCTGTGCCACTGGCTACTGGGGCTTTCCCAACTGCAGACGTGAGTACCGGAGTGCTGAGTGCCCAGGTGCCCGGGTTCCTGGGGAACTCGCTCCCCAGGGGCTTGCCTGGGGAGGGGTGCGCCAGAGTCTTGGGCACGGTGAGGGGGAAGCATCCCGCAGCCTGACAGGATGCCAGGCGCTGGACGCCCACCCGGAGGGTTTGTCTAGAAGGTTCTGGTGACCCAAGGTGCCCTCTAGCCTCTGGCAGCAAGGCCATGGCTCTAGGTCAGAGGCTCTGCCTGAGTCTCAGCCCAGCGGATGGGGAGGTACACCTGGCAAGCCCCTACCTTGCCACCATTCCTGGAACCCTGTATTGGCGCCCGAGTGGGCACAGGGTCAGCCAGCACCATCCGCCCCACAGCCTGCGACTGTGGTGCCCGCCTGTGTGACGAGCTCACAGGCCGGTGTATCTGCCCACCGCGCACGGTGCCTCCTGACTGCCTGGTGTGCCAGCCGCAGACCTTTGGCTGCCATCCCCTGGTCGGCTGCGAGGAGTGCAACTGCTCGGGGCCCGGCGTCCAGGAGCTCACGGACCCTACCTGTGACGTGGACAGCGGCCAGTGCAGGTGAGCGCCTGGGACGGAGTCTGTGCACCCGCCCACCCCTCCATTCTTGGGAGGCACTCAAGGTAGGGCCCTCATGGGTCGGGCAAGAGGGAGCTCAGCCAGCCTGTGTCCCTGGTAGGTGCAGACCCAACGTGGCCGGACGCCGCTGTGACACCTGTGCCCCGGGCTTTCACGGCTACCCCAGCTGCCGCCCGTGTGACTGCCATGAAGCTGGCACTGCACCGGGCGTGTGTGACCCGCTCACAGGCCAGTGCTACTGCAAGGTGAGGGCACCAGCGCCTGGCCCTGACCTGCGCTGAGATGTTCTCCGCAGCCCTGAGTGGCTGGGGCTTCCCAGAAGCTTTGGGGGGTGAGAGGTGGTGAGAGCCAGGGGACAGCCTCCCTGGACACAGCCAACCACCCCTCGGTGCCCCTGCCCCTAGGAGAATGTGCAGGGCCCGCGGTGTGACCAGTGCCGCCTTGGGACCTTCTCCCTCGATGCTGCCAACCCCAAGGGCTGCACCCGCTGCTTCTGCTTTGGGGCCACAGAGCGCTGCAGCAGCTCTGCCCACGCCCGCCATGAGGTAGGAGCCACAGCAGGGGCCACGTGGTTACCCGTAGCAGAAGCTAGACTGCAGGTGTGGACCACGGTGTGTGGGAGCCACCTACATGTGACCCTCCTGTGCACCTACAGTTCATGGACATGGACGGCTGGACCCTGCTGAGTGCTGACCGCCAAGTGGTGCCCCACGAGCGACGGGTGGAAGTGGAGCTGCTGTACGCGGACCTGCGGCATCTGGCCGACTCCATCCCCGAGCTGTACTGGCAAGCCCCGCCCTCCTACCTGGGAGACCGGGTGAGCAGGGACATGGGGCCAGGGGCCAGCACTCCAGGGGTGGTGAGGTTACATCCAGAGACAAGGAGCTCTGAGGCTGGAGGGGTGGAAAAGAAACTGGCAAAGGTGCGCAGGCCCATCTGGGGTGGAGGCGCCGGGAGGGGTTAGGCTGCGGCTGCCAGGCCTGGGCCCGTGTAAGTGAGTCGCCTCCCCTCCCGCTGCGCTGCTGCTAGGTGCCCTCCTACGGTGGCACCCTCCGCTATGAGTTGCACTCAGAGACCCAACGTGGAGACATCTTCATCCCCACCGAGAGCCGGCCGGACGTGGTGCTGCAGGTGGTGCAGGGGCTGGATGTGGCAGGCGGGTGGGCCTGGTGCCCGCTGGGACCGCAGCACATCCCCTGGCAACCCCTCATCCACCCACGTCTCCCAGGGCAACCAGATGAGCGTCACCTTCCTGGAGCCGGCATACCCCGCACCCGGCCGTGTCCATCGTGGGCAGCTGCTGCTGGTGGAGGTGAGTGGAGCTGGCCTGGCCCCGGGCAGTGCGGGGACCTAGCCACTGTGCCTTGTCAGCGAGGGAGATTGGGGCAAGGGGTGCTGGGGGCCGCTGCTGGCCTTGCCGCCCTTTGCAGCTTCACGTACTAGGGATTAAAGCTAGGGTGCTAGGATTACTGGCCTGTTCCTCCAGGCCAGGGTGCATTTAAGTTCTTAAACCTGGAACCTGGAACCAACGTAGCTGTGTGGCGTGAGGTAGGGTCAGGCCGCAGGCCTGGCATGTGGGTGACCCGCTGCACCTCTGCCTCCGCCGAGGGTCTGCGCTGCCGTCCTGCTTCTGCTCCCGGGATGGGAACCAATGAGCTTTTGCCTCGACCTTGCAGGGAAACTTCCGGCATACGGAGACCCACAATGCTGTGTCCCGGGAGGAGCTCATGATGGTCCTGGCAGGCCTGGAGCAGCTGCAGATCCGCGCCCTCTTCTCGCAGATCTCCTCTGCTGTCTCCTTGCGTAGGGTGGTGCTGGAGGTGGCCAGCGAGATGGGCAGAGGACCTCCAGCCAGCAATGTGGAGCTGTGCATGTGTCCCGCCAACTACCGTGGGGACTCGTGCCAGGTGAGGTGGGGGCGGGTGCCAGGCTGGGAGGCTGCGCCGTTCCTTGCGCATGCGCACTCCTGCTGCAAGTGCTCTTGGTTTTGGTCCTGGTTCCTGGCTTCCTGCCCACTGCCTGGACATCATGCTTGCTGGCTGTGGTTGGCTGTTCCACCATTTCCGGCTTCCTGCTGTCCATGCACTACCTGCTCCTTATCTTTCCAGTCATCATGTCTGTCCTGATGTCCAGTTAGCTGTCACTTCTTCATCCCTCACTCGTCCACACCCTTACTGCTTTATCCCGTCCTAGATGGCTTTTGCCACCAAGGGAGGATCATGGCCCACGTCCCCTGCAGAGCGGGACATCTCCACATGTGGGGAGGCGCTGCGCACATGGAGGGGCTTGGGCACCAGGCCCAGCCGTCACTGAGCCATAGTCTGCACAGTCCTGGCAGCCCTGCCCTCGGGGCTGAGGGTGGCAGCCAGACACCTGGCCCGCATTGTGCTCTCAGCCGGCCTCTGCCCAGTGTCTGTGTGCCGTCTGGTGCTCCGGGCGCAGTGCACCCCGCTGGTGGTCCCTGTCAGTGCATGCAGGCCCCTTGGCTCGACCTGAGGCAGCCCCCTTCTCTGCCTAGTCCAGCCCAGGGCTGGCCCTGCCTGCTTCGCTGATTGCCCATTGTCCCTCTGCTTTGCAGGAGTGTGCCCCTGGCTATTACCGGGATATCAAAGGACTCTTTCTGGGCCGATGTGTCCCCTGTCAGTGCCATGGCCACTCAGACCACTGCCTCTCTGGTTCTGGCGTCTGTGTGGTAAGGAGGATCCATGGGGAAGGGGCCTGCAGGCTCTGGGGCTGTGGTTCCAGACACACTTGAGGCCCAGGGCCTGAGGTGTGGGTTCCCTGGAGGGTTGGGTGGGATGGGGCCTCCTCTGTTGGTGCTGACTGTCCTTTCCGCCCCAGGGCTGCCAGCACAACACAGAGGGGGACCGCTGTGAGCGCTGCCAGGCCGGCTTTGTGAGGAGCAGGCCCGAGGACCCCTCAGCCCCCTGTGTCAGCTGCCCCTGCCCTCTGGCAGCGCCTTCCAACAAGTAAGCTGCACCAGCCCAACCAGAGCCCAGACTCCAACAGCCCGGCCCCCTTCTCCACTTCTTGGCACCCCACTGTTTTTCTCAGGGTCTTGGGAACCTGGAGCCACTGGGGTGGGGTCACCAGGTGTGTTCTGCAGCACCTGGTGGCTGAGCACAGGTGCCACCCCGGGACCCGAGGAGTTCAGCGCTTAGTGAACTCTGTCTTGCAGCTTCGCGGAGGGCTGCGTCCTGAGAGGCGGCCGCACCCAGTGCCTCTGCAGACCTGGCTATGCTGGGGCCTCCTGCGAGCGGTGAGCCAGGTGGGGGCAGGAATGCAGGCACACTGTTGTGTGTGGGGCACGGGATGTGACCCGACCCCTCGCTGCCACCCAGGTGCGCACCCGGCTTCTTCGGAAACCCTCTGGTGCTGGGCAGCTCATGCCAGCCCTGTGACTGCAGTGGCAACAGTGACCCCAACATGATCTTCAGTGACTGTGACCCCTTGACGGGCGCCTGTCGTGGCTGCCTGCGCCATACCACAGGACCTCACTGCGAGAGCTGTGCCCCTGGCTTCTATGGCAACGCCCTCCTGCCCGGCAACTGTACCCGTAGGCACCCTGGGTGTGGCCTGCAGCTCGTGGCCCTCACCCTACCCACCCTGGCTCACCATCCATCCGTGTCCCTTCAGGGCCAGGGGCAGGGCTGGCCAGGGAGTTGGCATCGGTGGGCACGACAAGGAAGTACGTAGCTGTGGGCAGGCTCCTGGGCTGGGTGGACTGCTGACAGCCCCTTCCTCTGTAGCCTGTGACTGCTCCCCATGTGGGACGGAGGCCTGTGACCCCCAGAGTGGCCACTGCTTGTGCAAGGCAGGCGTGACAGGGCAGCAGTGTGACCGCTGCCAGGTAGGACTGCGAGACTGGTCAGGGCCCAGGCTGGAGGAAGCGGGGTCCTTGCGCTGGGTGACCACGGCTTGTACCCACAGGAGGGACACTTCGGTTTTGAGGGCTGTCAGGGCTGCCGCCCTTGTGCCTGTGGACCAGCCGCCCAGGGGGCCGCGTGCCATCCCCAGAGTGGGCAGTGCCACTGCCGACCAGGAGCTGGGGGGCTTCAGTGTCGGGAGTGTGCCCCTGGCTACTGGGGGCTCCCGGAGCAGGGCTGCAGGCGTGAGTATGGCAGGTCATGGGTGGGCAGTGGGCACCATGTCGTGTCTGTGCTGACCTTACCCTCCCCTGCAGGCTGCCAGTGCCCGGGGGGCCACTGTGACCCCCACACAGGCCACTGCACCTGCCCGCCGGGGCTCAGCGGAGAGCGCTGCGACTCCTGCAGCCAGCAACACCAGGTGCCTGTGCCAGGCAGCCCTGGGGGCCCGGGCATCCACTGCGAAGGTGCGGCCCTGCTACGTCCTCTCCTGTCTTACCCTGCCCTGCAGCTCTGCCTGGGGACAGTGGGGGTCCCAGCCTGCACTCACCTGGCGGCCCCTGGCTTTGTTTCCCAGGGAACCCCACCCCTATGCTTAAGGACCCCATGGCCCCTGCTGATCTCACACCCTCCTCTCCCCAAATCTGCTGTGGCTGCAGCCTTGGACACCGACCGCTGCCACAGCCCCGCCCCCGCGTTCACTGTGTCCTGAGGCCAGCTTCCGGTGCCTGGCCATTCCCTCCTGATCCTTCACACCTTCAGCCTGGCTTAGTCTCTTATGCCAACTCCAGGGCCTGGCTGCCAGCCCCATGAGCTCTCTTGGTCTCGTGACCCTTCACTGACCTTCTCTGGAAACCTTGTGCTTCCATGTGACTCCCTCCTCCTGCACTGACCACTGACCCTCAGCCCTGTGCTGTAGCCCCTGCCCAGACCTGTGATGTTGTTGCAGCCGAGATCATGGCTTGCTGTGCTCACCACGTGACCTGGCTGGCCATGCCCACTTGCTGACCCTGTGACCCCTTGGTGTCGCAGTGTGTGACCACTGTGTGGTCTTGCTCCTGGACGACCTGGAGCGGGCTGGCACCCTCCTCCCTGCCATCCGCGAGCAGCTGCGTGGTGTTAATGCCAGCTCTGCAGCCTGGGCCCAGTTGCACATGCTGAACGCCTCCATCGCTGACCTTCAGGTACCGGCAGCCCACCCCGCAGGTGCACGAGCTGCTTCCGCCCATCCCAGGCTGTACCTGACATCACCTCCACTTCACCTCCCACAGGGCCAACTCCGAAGCCCGCTGGGGCCCCGCTCCCAGACAGAGCAGCAGCTGCAGACGCTGGAGCAGCAGAGCCTGGACTTGGAGCAGGGTGTACAGCGGCTGAGCAGCCAGGCAGGACCCAGAAGCCCCCACCCAGAGTGCCCCTCCGGGAGAACCTGCTCTCCCTGGAGGTCCCTACCCTGCCCCACCCTAGTCATTACCCAGCCCCAGCCGTTCTCCAGCTGCAGGGCTGTGGGCTGATGGACTCTGCATCCACAGGCCACAGGGGCCCATGACCAGGCAGGCTGGATGCTGGACAGCACTGAGGGCGTGCTGCGCCGTGCACAGGCACTGCTGGTGACTGTCCAGGCTGTGGACCACGCTCTGCGCGGTAGGGCTGACCTGGCCTGGCTGTAGCTCAGGCTTCAGCAGGGAGGGCTGCCTGGGAGGCTTCCTGGGGCTCGGCCTGAGAGCTTGGCCTCGAGAGCCAGCGAGACTTGCATGTGTGGGTGGGGAGATGGCACCCCCGGAGTATACAGCGAGGAGAGGCAGTTGAGGGGTGGGCAAGGGGGCCCATGTGGCCAGGGCGTGAGGCCAAGCGTTCCAGGGCAAGCTCTGGTTAGTCACCCTGGGAAACCCTTAGCCACACACTTGAGACCTGCAACCAACCAGAAATGAGGGCTCCCTCAGCTTCTTTACCTCACAGTGAAGCGGACCATGACCTTACAGAATAGGAGGCCAGGCGGCCAGGGGTGGAGAGGAGGTAGCTGAGCACTGGCTAGTGAGCAGGACTTGGCTGGCAGGGGGACAGGGAAGGCCCCTGAGGAGTCTGGGAGCAGCGGGGTGGGCACTGCAGGAGGGCAGCTTTGGCCCTCAGCTGAGCCTCGGAGCCACCAGTGCTCTTGTGTTGCCTACTGGTGGCCGCTGAAAATGTCCCAGGGCCTGGCTCTGACAGGTCCCCTCTCCACAGAGCTGGTCTCTCAGCTGGGCCATGTGTCACCAGCCAACGCGTCGATCCCGTCGGGTGAGCAGCTGCGTCGGACCCTGGCAGAGGCGGATAAGCTGCTGCAGGAGATGCGGGACCGCAGCCTTCGGGCTCCCCAGGCCGCAGCTGAAAATGAACTGGCCGAGGCCCAGCGGTGTGAGTGCTGGCCGCCCTGTTGGGAAGGCAGGCTGTGTGGGGGGAGGCTGGACCTAACTCAGGTCAGTGCAGCGTGGTAGCCACCTGCCTTGAGGCACAGGGGGTGGGGGCCCAGGGTCATGCAGGGATCCGGTTGCTGGAGCAAGTGCCCTTGCCCCTGGGCTGTCCAGTGCGGGCCCGTGTGCAGGAGCAGCTGAGCAGACGCTGGGAGAAGAACCAGGAGCTGGCTAAACACATCCGCGACCGGCTGGCCCAGCATGAGGCCGGCCTCATGGACCTGCGAGAGGCCCTGAACCGGGCGGTGGGCACCACTCGGGAGGCTGAGGAGCTCAACAGCCGCAGCCAGGCGCGCCTGGAGGAAGCCCTGGTGAGGGCCGTACCCTGTCCCCTCTGTTTACCCTTTTACCCCGTGGCCCCTCTGCCCATCACGGCCCTTATTCTTATCCCATCCACTTGCCTGCAGCAACGGAAGCAGGAGCTGTCCCATGACAATGCCACCCTGAAGGCCACCCTGGAGGCTGCTGGCCGCAGCCTGGCCCGCGTCTCTGAACTCCTGCAGGGCATGGAGCGGGCAAAGGAGGTAAGCCCAGCGCACATCACACATTGCATCGGGCCCCTTCCTACCCAGCTCTGTCCCAGCCTGCAGGCTTTGGTTGGCTTCTAAGTGTGGTCCCAGGTCCTAGAGGTAGTAAACCGGGTTTAGGAGTAGGGTGGGGGGACCCGCCTAAGCCTATCCACCTCCAGGACCTGGAGCACCTGGCTGCCAGCCTGGATGGGGCCTGGACCCCGCTGCTGGAGAAGATAGGGACCTTCTCCCCCGCCGGCAGCAAGGTGGACTTGGTGGAGACCGCTGAGGTCCACGCGGAGCAACTAGACCAGCTGGCGCTCAACCTGTCCGGGTGTGTGGCCGGGGCTACAGCCCCAGTCCTGCTGGGTATGATCAGGCCAGGGTGGGGCAGCTGGTCTGGGAGGGCTCCTTGGAAACAGAAGCCATCATCCCCAAAGGAAGTTGGGGCCCGGAGCAACAGGAAGGGCACACCGTGGCGAGCAGGCCGTGCTGTCTGGCCGCCTGCACCGCACGCGGCTGATCCTCCTGCTTTGCGCAGCATCATCCTCGGTATCAACCGAGACCGTTTCATCCAGAGGGCCGTGGAGGCCTCCAGCGCCTACAGCAGCATCCTGAAGGCCGTGCAGGCTGCCGAGGACGCCGCAGGCCGGGCCTGGCAGCAGGCGAGCCGCACGTGGGCGGTGAGGTTCTGCCTGCCCGGGGCTGAGGTGGGCGCCCCTGTGCTGCCCGGGTGACATGAAGTGCATCTTGTTCTCCTGTCTCCAGGCTGTGGTGGCGCGTGGCCTAGCGTCCCAAACCCAGCAGCTGCTGGCCAACAGCAGCGCCCTTGAGGAGGCTGTGCTCGGGCAGCAGCGGAGGTTGGGCCTTGGTGAGTGCTGGGCTCCGCAGGGACGTCTGTGGGTCAGGCTGCAGCAGAGCTGGCGGACCTGTGTGAGAATTCTGCTCCCCACCTGCACGGTCTCTGCGCTGTATGGTGGGCGTCAGCCTTCTGGGGTCAGGAGCCCTGGGCGGGGCTTGTCACCACTGAACTTCTCCCCCCCAGCGAGGCTCACCCTGGAGGGTGCCAGGAACCAGCTCAACGACATCCAGGCCGCGAAGGACCAACTTGTGGCCCGAATCCAAGAGGCGCAGGCCATGCTGGCCATGGACACAGGTATGTGGGCTTGTCCCACCCTTGCCACCTGTCCTTTATCCCTGTGGGAAGGGGACCCTTGGCCTGAGGTGGCACTCTAGCTGGCTGGCTGTGTGGCCCTGTGAGCGCGGGCATGTCTGCACCTGTGTTGGTGCAGCAGAGCTGCTGACCATGTGCAGTGTGGGGGATGGGCTACAGCATGAGGCACGTAGCACTCAGGCAGGGGCAGCTGGTCGGACACAGATGCCGACGTGGGGCCTGGTGCCACTGCAGCTGCATGGCCAGAGCAGGATCGTGGCTGCCACTTGGAGAGGACTTAGTAGGCGGGCACGTGGTCTGCCCAGCTTCTGGAGGGTCCCCGTGGCTCCTGAGTGTCCCGAGCAGGTCTGGCCTGGAGCCTCAGAGGCCTGGGCAGGCCTGGGAGCTGGCAGCAGCCAGGAGCTAGGAAGATGGTGCAGGCAGGCACCCTTCAGGAGGGCTGTCATGGGTGCAGAGGACCCTTTTGATTACACTTTGCTGCAGGGTGTGGGGTGCCCAGAGGTGTCAGGGTCACAAGGCCAGAGTGCTCTGGCCCCTGCCAGATGTGCCCTGTGCCTGCTGCAGGTGAGACTAGTAAGAAGATTGCCCATGCCAAGGCTGTGGCCGCCAAAGCCCAGGACACGGCCACTCGCGTGCAGTCCCAGCTTCGGGATATGCAGAGGAACCTGGAGCGGTGGCAGGGCCAGTTTGGGGGCCTGCAGGGTCAGGACCTGGGCCAGGTGGTGCTGGACGCAGGCCGCTCAGGTGAGCCGGCAGGGCCAGGGCCAGGGGGAGGAGGCGGTGTGGAGGGCTTTCGGCACACACCCCTCACTCGATGCCCACCTGTGCAGTGTCCTCCCTGGAGAAGACACTCCCGCAGCTCCTGGCCAAGCTGAGCCTGCTAGAGAACCGCAACACGCACAACGCCAGCCTGGCCCTGGCAGCCAGCATCGGCCGCGTGCGGGAGCTTATCGCGCAGGCCCGGGGCGCTGCCAGCAAGGTGGGTAGGAGTTGGGGCAGCTTGTCCCAAGGCCAGGAGGGGCGCGCTGATGGGCCTGCACCCCCAGGTCAAGGTGTCCATGAAGTTCAACGGGCGCTCAGGGGTGCAGCTGCGCATGCCCCGGGACCTTGCCGACCTTGCCGCCTACACCGCCCTCAAGTTCCACCTGCAGAGCCCCGAGCCAGCGCCGGAGCCCGGTCAGGAGGCCGGGGACCGCTTTGTGCTGTACATGGGCAGCCGCCAGGTACAGGCAGCATGGGCAGGCTGGGGGGCGGGCCACCAGGGTGGAGCGTGGGCGCTGCTGGGCCCCGTTCCAGGCGTGCTTTTGTGGCTGCTACAGGCCACTGGGGACTACATGGGTGTGGCTCTGCGGAACCGGAAGGTGCACTGGGTGTACCGGCTGGGGGGTGCCGGCCCCGTGACGCTCAGCATTGACGAGGACATCGGGGAGCAGTTTGCAGCCGTCAGCCTTGACAGGTGCGAGCCCTTCGGGTGGGGGGCATCGCCCTCCTGCGGGCCGTGCTTGTTCCTCACCCTGCACCTCCGCCTCTGCCCCAGAACCCTCCAGTTTGGCCACATGTCCATCACCGTGGAGGAGCCGATGGTCCAGGAGACTAAGGGTGATGCCGTGGCCCCTGGGGTGGAGGGGCTGCTCAGCCTACAGCCCGACGACTTTGTCTTCTATGTGGGCGGGTACCCCAGCAGCTTCACGGTGAGCCTGGCCCAGCCCTGCCATCTTTCTGGGAAGCACTTTGTAGGGTCTCAGGGCACCCTGCTGGTCTTTCTGAGGTGGCTGGGGGCACCCTGATCATGCCCTGTACCCGCAGCCCCCCGCACCCCTCCGCTTCCCTGGCTTCTGGGGCTGCATTGAGCTGGACACGCTGAATGAGGAGGTGGTCAGTCTCTACAACTTCGAGAGGGCCTTCCGGGTAGACACAGCTGTGGATAGGCCTTGTGCCCGGTGTGTACCGCCAGCCCACCTAGCCCCATCTGGGCCCCTTAGCCCTGCCTGCCTCCCCCTCTGCCCCACTGACCCTGAACCCTCTAACCCACAGCTCCAAGTCAACAGGGGACCCGTGGCTCACAGATGGCTCCTACCTGGATGGAACTGGCTTTGCCCACATCAGCTTCGAGAGACAGATGAGCACCACAAAGCGCTTTGACCAGGAGCTGCGGCTCGTGTCCTACAGTGGGATCCTCTTCTTCCTGAAGTACCAGGCACGGCCCTGCCCCGCCCCCGCCCGCCGCCCCAGCCTCACCCTGTGCTGACTCTGCCTTCCCTGTCCCTCTAGAGCCAGTTCCTGTGCCTGGCGGTGCTCAGAGGCAACCTCGTGCTCCTGTACGACCTGGGCATGGGTCTGAAGGAGGCCACCCCGCTGCAGCCACCTCCGCCCCTGACGACAACCAGCAAGGCAGTGAGTCTGTGCAGATGGGGGTCAGGGAGGTCCCCAGGTGTGGCAGGGCCTGAAGCCCCTCCTGCGTCTCAGATCCAGGTGTTCTTGCTGGCTGGCAGCCGTAAGCGCATGCTGGTGCGTGTGGAGCGGGCCACGGTGTTCAGCGTGGAGCAGGACAACATGCTAGACCTGGCCAGTGCCTACTATCTGGGTGGTGTGCCACCCGAGCAGCTGCCCCCAAGGTGAGGACAGGGTGCTCGGCAGGGTGGCACCCAGGGACTCCAAGGCAGGGGCTGGAGGAGGCCTGACCCCCCCCACCCCCGCAGCCTGCAGCAACTGTTCCCCTCCGGGGGCTCCATCCGTGGCTGCATCAAGGGGATCAAAGCTCTGGGCAAATACGTGGACCTCAAGAGGCTGAACACCACAGGCATCAGCTCTGGCTGCACGGCAGACCTGCTGGTGAGCCGCCCCTCCCGCCACCGCTGTGCGCCGTGTCCCGGCGAGCTCAGCACTCAGGGCTCCTCTGCCTGCAGATGGGACGCACCATGACTTTCTATGGCCATGGCTTCCTGCCTCTGGCGCTGCCCGATGTGCCGCCCCTCACGGGTGACATCTACTCCGGCATTGGCTTTCGCAGCACCGAGGACAGTGGTCTGCTCTACCACCGCGCATCCCTGGTGAGGCTACCCTGCCTGCCACCCCACAGCCCTCGCTGGGCTGGGCCTGCCCAGTGCAGCCCTCTGCCTGCTCTGGTGGCAGTCTGGGGGCTCAAGTGGCTGGAGGGAGACAGAACCTGGGTGCTTGTCCTGCACACTGATTGGGCCCTGCTCCCAGGATGGGCTGTGCCAGGTGTCCCTACAGCAAGGCCACGTGACGCTGCGGCTTCTGAGGACAGAGCTGAAGACACGAGGGGTCTTCAGCGATGGTGTTCCCCACTATGTGACCTTCTACAGTAACACCACAGGGTGAGCCCAGCTCACCTGGCCTAACTGCGAGGCCTGGTGCCCTCTGCCCCCACCACAGGCTGGGCTTGCCCACAGGCCTGGGAACAATGCCCTTCTGCCCACCTCCAGAGTCTGGCTTTATGTGGACGACCAGCTACAGCAGATGAGGCTGTACCGGGGGCCCCCGCCCAGGCAGCAGCCGCCTGAGGAGCCCCCCCAGCTCTCACTGGGGGGCCTGTCCGAGTCCGCCACCTCCTTCCGCAACTTCAGCGGCTGCATCAGCAATGTCTTTGTGCAGCGGTGAGTGATGGGTGTGGGGTGAGGTCTCCGTGGAGCCTTGGCCCTGCTGACTTCCCTCCCCTGCAGGCTCCAGGGCCCACAGCGCGTGTTGGACCTGCAGCAGAACCTGGGCGGTGTCAATGTGAGCACAGGCTGCGCCCTGGCCCCGCTCAGCCAGAGCCCAGGCCCTGGCGTACGCCGTCTGCGGGCCATGGCTCAGAAGGTGAGGTGTGGGGCTATGGGGCGGGGCCTGGTGGGTGAAGGACAGCCTGCAGCAGGTGCCCTGTCTGTCCCCATCCCCTCAGGCCTCCCGCCGCAGCCGCCAGCCCCGGCAGGGCCCTGCGTGTATGCCACCTCTACACCTCAAGATGACCCAAGATGCCTTCCAGTTCGGGGGCCCCCTTCCCAGTCGCCTGGAGTTTGCAGGCATCCTAGACCCCCGCAGGTACCAGTAAGTCCCGGCCAGGCTGGGGCAGGCTTTGAGGGCCCCCGAGGCTGATGCCCTCTTGGCTTCCAGGCTCCACCTCTCGATGCTGGTCCGTCCTCGTGCCCCCCAGGGCCTCCTCCTCTTCGCTGCCCCACCGGCGGCTGGTGGCACGTCCCTGGCTCTCTTCCTGAACCATGGTCGGCTTGTTGCACAGACAGGAGGGCCTGGGCCCCGCCTGCGCGTCCAGAGCCGCCAGCGCTCACGGGCTGGCAGGTGGCACACGGTGAGGAGCAGAAGATGGGACTTGGGCAGGGCCTGGGGTGCCCCTGCCTGACCCACTTCCCTCACTCCAGGTCTCTGTGCATTGGGAGGGAAACCAGCTCCAGCTCCTGACAGACGGACTCCACGCGTGGAGCCGCGAGAGGCCCCACCAGCCCAGTGCAAATGCAACAGCTGCGTGGCCCCACACCCTCTTTGTCGGGGGGCTCCCTGCCAGCAGCCACAGCATCCACTTGCCAGTGAGCACGCTAGCCTCTGCCGGGCTTCACCACTGTCTCCCCTCAGTGAGCCCAGCCTGACTGCAACCTTTCACTCCTCATAGGTGGCCGTCGGGTTCAGTGGCTGTGTGAAGAACCTGCAGGTGGACGGGCAGCCGCTGGGGCCCCCTTCGAGAATGGTGGGGGTCACGCCCTGCCTCTCAGGACCCCTGGAGAGCGGCCTGTTTTTCCCAGGCAGTGGAGGAGTTGTCACCCTAGGTCTGGGGTCGAGGCAGGGGCTCTGGGCGGCTCTGGCCCGGGCTGGTCTGTCCACTCTGACCAGGGCCCCTCTCCACAGAAGCCCCCAGGGCCACTGTGCCCCACCTGAGCCTGGAGCTGGAGGTGCGGCCGTTGGCAGCCACTGGGCTGATCTTTCACCTGGGCCAGGCCCAGGGCCCCCCCTACCTGCAGCTGCAGATGTCCAACCAGCAGGTGAGCAGGGTTGTGGTGGCAGGATGGGTCTCCCAGCTCTGGTGGCCTTGGTTGACAGACCTGACCCCTGCCACAGGTCTTGCTGCGGGCAGATGATGGTACAGGTGAATTTTCCACATGGGTGACACACCCTGTGGCGCTATGTGATGGGCAGTGGCACCGACTGGCAGGTGAGTACAGGCAGGAGCCAGGGTGGGGCTCGAGGGGCAGCCTCGGTCCCCACCCTGCAGCTGGCTCCAGGGACCTTGGCTGGGTTTGGGGCACCCATGAGCGTCTCCTGCAGCCACCAAGGGTGGGAATGTGCTCCGGTTGGAGGTCGACACTCAGAGCAACCACACCTTGGGACGCTCAGCAACAGCCACAGCCAACAGCCCAGCAGCTCTGCACCTTGGGGGCCTGCCTGGTGAGTGGCCACAGCTAGGGGACCCAGTTGGCACTGGTCTCAGGAAGGTGGGCGGGCAGGCGGAGACGGGCACCCAGGAAGATCCCACCATCCACCCTGTCTTACACCCGCAGAGACCACAGCTGCAGCGTCCGGAGCCCCCCCTTACCAAGGCTGCATGAGGAAGCTGCTGGTGAATGGGTCCCCCGTCACCGTGACTCGCTCTGCAGGCGTGCAGGGGGCGGTCGGGGCCAGCGGCTGCCCGGTCACATAGTCGGTCTGCCCTGTCCACCCCGGCGGGCAGTCGCACCAGCAGGAGGGGCCGGGCCACACCCAGGCACCGCAGCAGCCCAGCTGCCCTCCCTGCACCGCGGCACTCAGTCGGCGTCGTAGGCAGTGCCGTGGATATTTATCTAGGCTAGATTCTCCAGGTGACAGGTCTCATTTCTTGAAACGGATTAAATTATCTTCCTAAATGAAAGGGTAGGATACTGTAAAATGGGCTTTTATATTCTTATCTCCCTCCCACCAGTTTTTAGCTGTGAGATGTGTACCACCACTGGTTCTTTGAGACAAAAATTAAAAAGTATCCTGGTCAACTGAGTGTGTGTCAGCTTGCGGAGTGACTGAGGGGATGGGGCTGGCCTGGCCCAGCCACAGCTGCGCAAGCACCCAGGTCTGGGCACTGGCTCTGCGTGACGCAGGACAAAGACGAGAAGTGGCAGGTAAAAGAAAGGACTTTTATTTATTAGTAAATTGGAACAGGACAGGGTATGCAACAAATCACAACTGTCACTACAGGAGCCACGTGACTAAGTTCCAATTCCTTAAAAGAACAAATAAGTTAATCGAGACTCATATCTTCCTCCTCGTCTTTCTTGTCCTTCGCGTCGCCCTCTTTCTGCTCGGATTTGGCATTGTTCTGCATTGCTTTGGCAAATGCTTCCACATCTGAAACACATTGGAAATGCTGCTGCACCTCTGCCCAGGGCTGCTGCCGAGGGACACAAAGCTCAGCAGTGTCAGCACGACCTCGCACAGCAAGGGGCGCAGGCGACATGGGGCGGGTGGGCGCTTACCACCCTTGTTGGCGGCCTCCACCGCCTCCGCAGGCAGCCCGAACTGGCACATGAGGGGCCCCAGCTGCCCGGAAGCCAGGGCTGCGCTGAACATGCCCAGAGCCTGCAGGAAGAAGTGCACTGCTGTGAGGCGGGCGCCAGAGCCCGGGAGCCGCTTCCCCTGTGCCACGTCACAGGGGCACGAGGTGCACACCGAGGCCTGGCAGGCGCTCCCCTACCTGCTGGAACTGAGGAGAGGTCAGCGTGTTCTGGATCTCGTCCGCAGTCTGGGGCAGCGACTCCCCAGAGGGCAGGTAGGGCAGCAGGCGCTCCTGGACGTCTGCGTTGGCCAGGATGGGCGCCATGATCTCTGGCGTCAGCACGCTGGCCAGGTCCACTAGGGCACAAGCACACAGCCATCAGCGCACAGCGCTGCCCAGGTGTCCGCAAACGGCCAGCCATGCAGCATGCAGGGCAAACGGGACCTGGCAGTGATTGGGACTTGTCGGAGCGAACGGGGCAGCACCCGCCACTGCCCCCTGCCCGCACTTTACCTTGCTGGCCGCTGCCTGGCGCGGCCGGCACATTCATAGTAGCCAGAATGCTCTGGAGGTCGCTCAACTGGATGGGCTGGGTCGGGCTGGCCGCCGTGCTGGCTCCATTACCTGAGCTGGGCGCAGGGCTTGGGCTGCCTGCAGAGGCAGCTGCTGGGGCAGAGGGGGCCGGGGTGGCACGGGCGGAAGAGGTGGTGGAGGATGGGGTGACGGCTGCCGACTGGCTCCGGGAGCTGGGAAGAGCGAGGGCAGAGCTGGAGAGTGGGCCCCCGCCTGCGAGGGGACAGTGGCGCTGAGGGCGCGGGACCTGGCTGCCTGGTGAGTGGGTGGGCTCACCTGGAGGAGGAGCTGCTCGCTGGAGGCCCGCCACTGCCCAGTAAGCTGGCCAGGCCCGGCCCAGTGAGGGCCCCGAGTCCACCTGCAAGCAGCAAGGAGATAGGTGCTGAGGACACCCAGCCCACTTCCAGTCCAAGGGACAAGGGCAGGGAAGGCAGGAAGCTTAGCAGGCTGGTCGCAGGCAGCAGTGGTCACTACTCCAGGCCCACTGTCTGGGGAGTCGTTCTGTTGAGCCAGACCGCTTCTGTCCCACCCATCACACTTACCAGACTCAGGCCCAAGCCGGCCAACGTGGCAACTGTTTCCTAAGTGTCTGGTGCATGGACCCACACCGCATGGGCTCTTGGTGCCAGGCCCACCTGGGAACCCCAGGCAGAAGCACATCCTCCTGCCCTGAGCAAGTGCACCCTGAATACCAAGCTGGGTTCCTCCCAGGGGCCAGAGGGGCCTCCCCAGCCAACGCGCACGGAGAGTGCACCCAGATACTGCTCAGTTGGCACCAACAAATGCTTCAAGGGACCCCAGGCCCAACCCAAGCACAGGAAAAGGCCCGCTTCTGAGGGATGGGCAGTGCCCTACCCAGTCCTCCAAGGCCGGCCGGTCCGATGAGCTGCATGAGCTGGCTGTGACTCATATTCCCCAGCAGGCTCTGCAGGCCGCCCTCGCCTGGAAAACATGGAGCTCAGAGTCAGGGCCTCCCATGGCCTGGGCCCACCCATGTGTCTACCTGGGTCAAAAGGATGCCAGGCCCCAGAACTGTTTGAGAAGCAGCCATGGGGACGGATGGGATTGAGCAGAGCTGCCAGCAAGGGCTCTAGTTTATCATCAGCTAGTTGCTTAAAAACCCCAGCCTGAGGGGTCAGGAGGCCAAGTGGTCTAGGGTGCCAGACCCCAAACACCGGCACGCACTGCTAGGGCGCAAGGTGACAGTTACCGCCCAGTGCAGAGAGCTCGTGGCCTCCACTTCCGCTCGCCCCCAGTGCCCCGGGCATTGGGGGGTTGTTCAGGTATTCGTTGACCTTCCGGCAGTGTTCCTCGTCCTGGTCAGTCTTGGGTTCCTACAGGGAAGGACAGGAGATCCCCAGCTGAGGGCACAGCTTGCGGCACAGCCAGCCATCCTGCTGGCCAAGGGTCCCGGGTATAGCCCACAGCACAGACAGGACCAACACAGATGACCAAAGGGGCCACAGCAGTGCCACCTGAGGACACTGTCATCCCTGCTGGCTGCCATCACTGAGCCAGATGACACACAATGCACTATACGTGGGATGGACAGGGCTCAGCCGCCTCCAGGCCAAGCCCTCTCCTCTCAGCAGCCCACTGCTCTCAGCTAGTGGACAGCTAGTCCCCATCACAGCCCTGCCCTCAGCTAGTGGACTGCCAGTCCCCATCACAGCCCTGCCCTGGGGTGAACAGGGCCCTCAGGCGGCTCATCCTAAGGTGCCCCAGAACTGCACAACAGCGCCAACAACGTCGCTGCACACCTGCTATGACCCCTGTGGGCTTCAGGCCCTGCTAGTGAGGGGGCCAGAGGAGCATTAAATGAGTACGCCCAAGAGAAGTAAGAAATGGAAGGAAAGAGATGAAAATTCAGTACAGTGTAACTGCAGGAGCCGGAAAAAGCATGCCCTCTCCTGCTTGTAAGTAAGAGTCACACCCCTCACTCCATGTCCTCCGCTGCGTTCCCTTGGGACAGTGTGGGGCCCGGCAGCAGCCCACATCTGCAGGGAACAGCAGCTCTGTCCAAAGTGCAAACGCAGGCCCGGGCTTCTGAATGCAAACACCACTCAGCTCTGACCTCCAGGCCCCACTATGCCCAGGCAAGACCTGCATGGGCCAGGCATTCACTGCAGCACCACTTGTGACAGCACAAGAAATGGAGACACGCCTGATGGCCACCAACAGGTGGCAGAATGGGCGGTGGCTCTCACAAGCAGCTGCAGTTAGGAGGGAACCTGCAGGGACAAGGCTCCAGCACACACTGAGGGAGTTGGGGCAGGCTCCCTGTCTGTGAGAAACACAGCTCGGACTCAAGGTTGCTTGGGCCTCCGCGACTAGCAGTGAGGACCAGAAGTGGGCATGGGAACAGAAGCGAGCACCGTGCTGTCGCCCCAGGCAGGAAGGGCACACCCCACACCTGGGATGGGGAACACAGCCCCTCCCACTCTCAAGGCCCCTAGACACCCCCAGCGGCCCAAGCCCAGTCTATCCTGAGGCGCGCTGGACTGCATGACACAATAACCAAAAACACAAAATCAACCCTCCCAGGTACCTGCATCCAAAAGAAGAGCCGCTTGGACCCTGCCTTAAACTTGAGCACGTAGACCCTCCCGCTGGGGCACTGAGGCACGCGCTTGAACTCACAGTCATCAGGGAATATGATCAGGTCCTGGCAAGCACAAGAACAGAGTCAGCCAGGGCCCTGCTCTCAGGAGATCTGTGGACCCCGGGTCTCCTGCAGGTGCTAAGTCACCGCTGGAGACACCTCCTGGGGAAGAGCAGACCCTAGCGGCCGGGCTGGGGACCACCAGCTCTTCAGGGACCTCGACAGAAACGCTTTAAGCGCTGCACTCCAAGATGAGGTGAAAGGGCGACTCTGACCGGCTCTCAAGCGGCACAAACAACAGTGATAAAGTCCTGCTCCCCAGGGCTGCGATGAAGGTCAGGATCTGCACTCATCTGCCACGCGGGCACCGGGGACACGGGCCGGGAAACGCCTTCGGCCAGCTCTGTCCTCGAGTGAACACAACGTCACTAGGCGCTACATCTTCTGGATAACCGCACTGTGCGGCACAGGGCTACAGAGCGGGGAGCAGTCTGTCATCCTCGCGCCAGCGGGGCGCCAACAAGCGGCCACAGCAGCGGCGGGGTCCCACCACCCCAAGTCCCGCCAAGCCGGGAACAGCCGGCGCCCGGCCGGCCTGCCTCCGGGAGCGCCCGGCCGGGGGTGGAGGCACTCACGTCTTCCACGGTCCCGGACGTCCTGTCCTTCCAGCAGAAGTGAATGAGGGAGTCGTCGGTCTGCTGGATGTACACGAGCCCTTTCCGTTTATCTGGGGTGACTGTAGTTCCTTTCAAAGACATTTTTCCTGCGCGAAACTCCACCAGATACTTGTTGGAGGACCCGCGGGAGCCGGGCACCAGGCTCGGGAAGAGAGCGCCTGAGGTCGTCATCCTGAAAGAGCAGAGGGGCGCTGAGGCCGGCAGCCGCCGCCGGGCGCTGTCACCGAAAGCCCGACTCGCTCCTGGGCGCGCGCCAGGGCTGCCCACAGGCCGGGCCTCCCCGCGGGCCTCCGAAACACCCACGCCGCGCCGCCGCGCCGCCGCGCCGGGTCCCGGACCCCGCCGACGCCACTGTGCGGCTCGGGGAGCTCCCGCCTTCGGGCCAGGCTGCAGCCCGGCGCAGGCAAGAACGGGCTGACACGGTCCTGCGCGGCGCCGCTCGGCGCCCGCGACCTGCCTCCGCGCGCAGCCAGACCTGGACGCCTCGCTAGGCTTCCGCGGCCGCCCCCGAGCCCACGCCGGGCCCTCGGGCCGCACGGGCCGCGGCGGCGCTGGGCAGACCTCGGGATCCCGCCGGCCCCGAACCAGCCCGAACCTGGCTGCGCCCACACTCGGCCGAGAGACGCCGTCCGGGCTCGCTCTTCCTCCTCAGCGCCTGCCGGGCCCCACCGGAAGCCCGCGCTTGGCCCGCCCCTGCCGTGCTCACCGCCGATTGGGCGTCGTCAACCTCGCGGCCAGCCCCGTCGCGCTCCCGATTGGCCTGCCTGGCCGCCCATCGCGCCTACCCCACCACGGCCCGCCCCCGTGCCGGCAGCTCCCTTCCGGCGGAAGCGCGGACCCGCGACGCGCGGGGCAGAGCGGCCCCTATTGTTGCTGTGTCATTGGGGAGCAGCGACGGCCCCTGGCGGCGGCGGCGGGGCGGCGGGGCACGAGCCCCCCGCGCCGGCCACCCTGGCCCTCTGGCCGAGAAGACCGCACGGAGCCGTACCAGGAGGCAGGCGCAGGCCGAGGCGGGGACTGGCGGTGGGCGCCGAGCGACGCACAGGCGTGTCCAGGGGCTTCGGCCGGGACGGACCCCGGGGCCGGTGTCCGCCCGATCACCCGCTAGAGTCCCTGGAGCCGAGCTCCAGGCCCGCAGGAAGCCAGCCCTTGTCACATTCGTTATTCCTGAGCACGATTCCGGGGCTTAGAGACGAGGCCAGAAAGGTAGGAGTCCTGGGGCCCTGGACCTAGAAGACGTCAGCTTCACGTCACCTTGGGAGGTAAGGTGACATCAGTTAAAGCCGGGGCAACAGGAAAATGCCCGGGCCGCACCGCCGACCCCCCAAGCAGGGCTTCCCAGGCACGTTCTCGGCACCCCTGGATGTCCCCCTCGGTTCCCTCGTGCTCCCCACTTCACCTAGGGCTGGGGGAAGCGGCTGTGAACGCAGCTGCCCTCCATGGAGCCTCTCTAGCTGCTGCAGAAATGTGGCAGCGACACGATTCCATCTCGTTTTCCTTTGCCCACCACTTACTATTTATTTGCTTCAGATCTTTGAGAGTTTTAGGGAACTAAAACACAGTCCAAACGCAGTGCCCCCCCTTCACCTCTCCCTAACCCCAGGGCCCCTACTGCGAATCTGTGGGGCTCCCCTGTGCTTGCTTCATAATTTACTAAGTATATATGAAATCTGTGTTTTCCTTAGTTTTTTAAATCTTTATTTTTGTGTTCCTTAGTCTCTTCAGCTTTCCTCCTGTTGCCAGCCCAGTCCTTGCATCTCCTGGGTGATACTCTAATCCGTGAAGCCTTCACTTTATCTGGTGTCCTGTTGGTGGACGCGGACCTGTTCTCATCTTTTCACTGCTACAATGCTTGCCTGTTTAAAATTTGATTTAAAAATTCACTCTGACTTCCTTTCTGCTGTAACTCCAGCTCCACACTGTTGCAATGGGCAAGTTCATGAAGCTAGGGCAAGTGGTGCTGGTCCTTGCCAGATGCCAAGTGGTCATCATGAAGAACTCCAAGGGCCCCTGCAGCCCTGCCACGGTGGCCTGGACTGACTGCTTCCCCACCAAGTGACAGCTGCCAAGAGGTCCAAGATCAAGCCCTTTGAGGGTTTACAACCGCCTCAGGCCCACAAGGTACTCTGTGGACATCCCCTGCGTAAGGCGTGGTCAACAAGGACGTGTGTGCAGAGACCCAGCCTCGAGCGCAAGGCCCGGTGGGAGGCGAAGGCCAAGCTCGAGGAGAGATTCGAGACAGCAAGAACAAGTGGTTCTTCCAGAAGCTCCAGTTTAGGTGATTTTTGTTTCTGTCATTAAAAATTTCACAAAAGAGGGCTGGGGACATAGCTCAGTGGCATAAGCACCTGCCTGGCAAGTGTAAGGTCCTGAGTTCTATCCCCGGGTACAGGGGGAAAAAAAATCACAGAAGAAAAAAATTCACTTTGAGAAAATATAGCAATTTTTCAGTAAAATTTTAAGAAACTGAACCTCGGATTTCATCCATGTTAGGCAAACCCACTCCTGCTGAGCTATACCCTACTCCTTCTATTATTTTTTATTTTTGGCGGAACCAGGGATTGAGCTCTGGCCCTTATGCTTGCCAGGCAAACGCTTATTCTGAATTATCTCCCCAGCCCCATCGGATGTGTATTTTTTTTTTAAGTACTGGGGATTGAACTCAGGACCCTGCGCTTGCCAGGCAAACACTTATTCTACTGAGCCATCTCCTGGCCCCCCACCCCTATTTTTAATTAATATTCTAAAAACATAGAATTAATTTCTAATATGGTATTAGTACATTAATCCTACATAAGCAAAAGTTCCTTGGGGGTCCCAGGCCCATACGTGTGCTGGGCAAGTGCTATGCGGCTGAGCTACACTCCCAGCTTTGGCATTTCTTAAAGAATCTAAAAGCTGCCAAATAGCAGATGGGGGAGAGTGGCTCCCGCGTGACTGCACCCCACTGCCACTGCTGTAGCCCAGTAGGCTGTGCTGCAAACATGCCCTGAAAACAGGAAATAAAACACAGCCTGGCTTTCAGGCAGCCCCGACAGGCAGGTGTCACTTGTTCAAAGTAATGCAGCGTTAAAAAACTGCCAGTAGAGGCCACGGGGAAACTCGCTGTGCAGCGCCCAGCGTCCACATGTACATCCCCCAAGCCTGGACCTCCCAGCCCTATCCTCAGCATGTTCTCACGTAAGCCAGGGGAGCCCTGCGGCCTGGCACAGCCCAGCAGGAGCAGACCCCTTCACACACATTTTGAGGATGTTTCCTGTTCTCTGCTGTGGGTAGATGGGCATCACAGGGGGCTGAGTGGGCTGTCCACTTTCAGCTGTAGGGCTGATGGAGGGCTTCGGCATGGCCTGCACCAAGCACCTGTAAAAAGCCAGGGAGCTCACCACACCCGTCCCCAACTGTGGCACAGCCAGGAGCTGCGCACCATGAAGCACAGGAGGATCTCTCAGGCCTGCTCGAAGGAGGCACTAAATGGGCAGCAGCTGCTGATACACCGAGCTGACCAGTACTGACTAAGCTGGTGGCTGCGTCTGCCAGAGGTCTTCAGCATCTCCATGTGGATTTCGGATGAACCAATTAGATTCTCCAAACAAAGGTGCTTCTTATCAAAAAGGACTGGGGATGTAGCTCAGTGGTGCAGCGCTTGCTGAGCATGCATGAAGCCCTGGATTTAATCCCTAGTACTGAAAAAATATAAAAAGCAAAAACGCCCAACTAGGAAACTGACTGCAAAGAATGTCTGGCAGCTGTCCAAGCCCGATATGGAAAGAGAGCAGCACAGCAGCAGAGTGGCTCACAGGGCGGCCGCGCATTCACAGGAGGCTTCTCCGCACGGACGGTTGCAGAGGCCCTTGCGAGAAGCTGCTCGAGAAGCTGCTCATGTCATTGCTCTTAAGGGAAATGCATGTTAAAGCCCACCCATTAGAATTGCTAAAAGCCGGGACCGGGGAGATGGCTCAGTAGAATAAGTGCTTCCCTGGCAAGCGCAAAGGTCTGAGTTCAATCCCCGGTTCCGCAAAAAAAAAAAAAAAAAGAGCAAGAATTGCTACAATGGGGCTGGAGAGATGGCTCAGTGGTCTAAAGCACCTACTTGAAACAAGCTCGGCAAAAGCACAGGGACCACGGTTCGATCCCCAGCACCACATGCCAGCCAGCCCCGCCCCCTGGTGGGCTGAGCTGGCCACACACACACACACACAATAAATAAATGTAATAAATAAAAATAAAAATAAAAATAAAAAAAAAAAAGAATTGCTACAAGCCAAGAGAAAGAAATGGCAATCCCAGGTGCGAGGGGAAGGGAGCGCCATGCCGTGGCTGGGAAGAAGAGTGGTAGGTGTGGAGTTTTCCTTTTATTATTAGACAGTTTTTGGAAACAGCTTTTGGTCTACAGTAAAACTGAACAGAAGATACAGTCAGTCCCCCCACCCCACCCCAAGCCTCCCCCTGCCCAACCTTCTAAGATTTGTCACCGCTGATGAAGTTTCTGGACCAAGACCCGGAGTTGTAGGAAGAGCAGCACTCTTACTTTGTGCTACTGTAATGGAGTACCGTAGGCAGTGTAACTTTCACAGAACGCTGGCAGGTTTGGCCTGCAGGGCTGCTTTCCGCTGCCTGATGGTGCCTGTACTGTGCCCGCTCAGGAAGGCAGGGTTGCTGCAAGATGCCCCTTTCCTCAGGGCCCTGACGCCCTGCAGAGGGGGGACCCTGGCCTCCTCGCCTCCCAACGCCTGCCCTTCCGCACCGCACGCTGGCCGTGAAGGCCCAGCACCTGCGTTTGGCAGAGCACAGTTCAAGCCACAGCACTGCTGTCATGGCTGCAGCCAGCACCACGCACGACTCCAGGGGCAGCTCCTCGTCCTGCGTCACGAGGCTCCTCTGTGCTCTGCTGCGCACCTGCCCTCTCCTCACCCCTCCGCTGCCTCCATGGTTTTGCCTTTTCCAGAATGTCGAGCAGTTGGATTCATGCAGGAAGTAGCCTTTTCGAGTTGGCCTTTCAATACACAAGACCCGTGGCGTCTTAGGCTTGGAAGCCCACGTCTTCGGCACAGAATGCTGCACCACTGTCTGGATGTATCAGTTGTTCCTCCGTCTGCTGGGGCTGTCTTCCCTGGCTTTCAGGTTTCTGTGATTATTCATAAAGCTGCTGTGAACATCTGCGTGCAGCCTTTTGTGCGGACATGAGTCTCAACTCTAATAGGGATGTTTAGTTGCGTAAGGACAGTCTTCCCGAGCGACCAGGGGTGAGTGCTCCTGGGCTGCAGGCCTCGCTGCACTTGGCGTTGGGGGTTCTGGACCTTGCTTACTGGACGGGTATGCAGTGGCACTTTCTTGATTTAGTGTGCCGTTTCCTCACAGCCCAAGTGGTGTGCATTTTTCCTAGGCCTGTCTGCCGTGTGCATCTTCTCTGGTGAGGTGACAATGTTCTGCATAAGCACACAACTACCATGTGACCCAGCTAGCATCTCCCATTTACCCAACAGAAATGGAAACAGATGTCTACACAAAAACCTGTGTACAAATGTCGGTAGTGATTCTTTTCATAACTGCCCCGAATTTGAAACAACTCAAATACCTATCAGCTGGTGAATAAACAGTGGCACACTTTATTTACTGCTCAGCAGTAAGAAGGCGCAAACTGCTGCCTCACTGCCCCCTGACTGAATGCCTTTATTCTGCAAGCAAACAGCCTGAGCACAGGCAAGGCGTGAGCCACAGGGACAGATGCCGGTCCAGGTGAGCAGGCGCTAGGAAAGCCTGTGGACAAAGGGCTGTCTGCGAAGCTGCCACGTGAGCTGTGCCAGGGCATGCTGGTTGAAGCCCACACCAAAGCCACCCCGCACTGCTGGGAAGGGTTGAGCTTCACTGGGGGCCGGTCTTAGCCCCTCCCTAGCAAGCAGCTGCAAGCCTTGGGTTTCCTAGTGCCTGCTCCTCCTCCCTGGGTGCCAACCAAGGGCCCTGGGACAGGAAATACCAAAGAGGCCAGGTAGGAAAACTCCAGGACTATCCGCCCCCAGCCAGTGTGAGCCCTGCACTGCTGACTGCTTCAGGCAGGAGCTGGGCAGCAGAACCCTGCTGCCAAACCCACACCACATGCCAGGTATTTCATCTCTTCTAATAGCACCTAGTGCCCAGGAAAGGGACAGTGAACTAGTACTGCTGCTGCTGCCCAGAACACCTAGACCCTTCGTGCCCCACGTGTGCCATCCACTGTTACAGGGGCCCTATAATCCCCTCTCCACCATGACAAGCAGTTTGGAGAAACACCCATGTGCTAGGCCAATCCTTAGGAGCACAAGGTCCCAGTGTGTGATATCCTGGCACAAGGACGTGTTTCTAGCCGTTTGTGGCCCTTTCTGGAAAGGCCAGAACCTTTGAGACGATAAGAAACTGCAGTGTGAAGTGTCGGTTACCACCCACTTCTCTTGTCTGGAAATAGATGCTACGCTCTGTGTTCAGAGAACTGTGTAGTCCTCCAGGACAACCCCTAAGGTAGCTTCTGCTAGTACACACAGTACGTAAGTATCCAACGTTAAACATCAGTCCATTTGGCCAGCATGTCTTCTTGCCTGACATTTTCAGGCCGCATGGGTAGAGTGGTGTTGAGGGAGCCCTCCCTCCCCGAGACCAGCCAATGAGGAAGGCCAAACCAGTGCCTCTGAGGCACCCACAGGGCTGGCCTCTGCAGCGGCAGGCTTTCCTAAACGGCCGGCTGGGCAGCTGGTTCCGAGCGCAGTGCATCAAGTGGAGGAAGGCTGGCCCATAACCTCACACCGAGATAACGGAAGCACGCAAAGAGGAGGACTGTGTCCTTGAGGGTATCGCAGGAGACGCCGGCTCATGTGCCATCTTGAGAAGCACAGGCCCCGCCGCCGCACAGATACCTGAGAGGCATGATCTAATTATCTGCACTTCAGAGCTCCTGAAAAGGTGCTGGGGAATAAAGCTTCAGATGTGTCTGAAAGCTGCCATGCAGCTCTTTTCAGGTCAGGCGTGGGGGGAACAGAGACTGGGCCAGAGCTGAGGTGGCATTCAGTGGTAGGGCATTGCCTGGGTTCAGTCCCAGGACTGAAAAGTGACACGGACACAGGCCACAGGCCACAGGCCACCAGATGCAACTACCACACCCTCAGTCCCAGCTTCCAAGGCCACGAAATCAAGCTTTGAAACCAATGATGGCTTTGAAATGTGTTTTAATCCCAGGTGGCTCTGAAACCTGGACGCAGCGACGGTGCTCACGTGGCAGCCGCACTCCCTCCTGCGCCGGCTGCAGGCCGCGTGCGTGTGCGCACAGCATGGTCTTGGACGGGCCACGCTCTGCTGAGATCTGCAGCGTGCCTTTCTAGGTGGAGTCCGTCGCTGGGCAGGAGTGCGGAGATGGACACACGCCCACTTGTGGTTCAACACCTTTAATTGACACCAGAGAAGCAGGCCCTGCCTCTGACCTCCCGCTGCGCCGCTCCACGCGGCTTGCTTACAGTGGAACATGCATGCCAGGAAAACAGAAACACAAGCCTGTTGGACACAGGTGAGGCAAGTGGAGAAATGAGAACACGGGTGCAGGCCGTGGGGACGGCCAAGCTGGGACAGCAGGAGTGCCGTGGCGGGAGGCGGGGCTCCTGTGAGCTGGGAGCAGCCACGGGGTCTAGTCCAAGTCACACGTTTCTGCCCCCTGGCTTGTCCCAGGAACTTGTCCCGAAGTTCACAGTGGGGATTGATGTTTCCCGCCATCAGGCAAAATACCATTCGGGTAGTTTTAACTTAAATATTTTTAAAGGCATCTTTACTCAAGATTGGTAAAAATACAGACTCTGACTGCTTTTCACTTATTCGCCTAGGTGCTCTGGAGGCCTTCATCGCTATGATCTGGGAAGTGCCCCTTGGCCTGCTGCTGGTCCTTTCGAGACGACGTTCCCCTCTTGGCCTGGCTCTGAAGCACGCTTAGAAACCAGGCTACAGCCAGCGAGGAGCATGTGGCCCCGCTTGGTTCTTCCTTTAGTCACAGATTTCTAACTGTGAGCCCTGCACGCTTGGCCGGCCCCACTCGCTGCCCACAGAAGGACCGGCAGGGGTTTTCTTCTGTGGCTCAGTGGACACGAGGGTCTTGGGTGGCTTCGTGAGGGGCTGCAAGAGTGGTCAGGCGCTGGGCAGTGGGAAGTTGGCTGGGGCAGTGCCGCCAGGGGCCTTGCTGGGAGCTCGGGCTGCTCACAGGGCCAGCCCCGCAGGCCGCCAGGCTGGCCTCCAGCCCTCAGTAGATATCGGGGCAGTCGGAAAAATTCCGCTCAAAGTAATCCCCTGCGTATAACCAGTCAGAAGCCCCAGTGTAGGGGTTGTCGCCTGGGTAAAACCACCTGCAGAAGGCAAGCAACGCTGTCAGAAGACTCGGGCCTCAGTGCACACAGCACTGTGTTCTAGCATGTGGCCAGGGGACGCCCGCCAGCGGCATCCCCGAGCAGCTTCATGTAAGTGTGCTTGTCAGTGTCGTGTCCCAACACCACTTCAGAGTTGTCACTCAGCAAACACCTTCCCAGCAGGATGTGCTCAGAACAAAGGCAAGGTGCCTGGGACCCACAGGGCCAACAGTTCTGGGCACCAGTCCTAGTTCAAAGCCTCAGGCCACTGCCCACAGCTTGCATGGGCCTTGGCTCCTTGTAAAGCCTGTGGCACCTGTGGCTTCACTCCTCAGCTGCGCCATGACACAAAAGCAACTTTGGACATCTGCAGTTTGCCATGAAGCCTACTTTGGTGGAGCTTATAAAGAAAATTATCTTTTAAGAACTAAATATTATTCTCAGACTCTCTGTATCTTTGACACTTTAAAAAGGTTATTTTCAACTGTTTTTCTCTGAAATGAAGGGAGATTCCAAATATAAAACCACTAAAAGCACAACACTGAATTGGAAGCCTGTCTCCTTGGGGGCAGTTATTAACTGACCTGGAAAGCAGAACCCTAAAGAATGAGGCCTGGAGGCGGTGTGTGCCTGTCATCCCAGCTGCGTGGGGCTGAGGCAAGAGGTCACTTGATCCCAGGGCTTCATGGTTCAAGAGACAGGGCGGCATGGTGAGACCCAGTCTCAGAAGGGAGGAAGGAAGGAACCAGAGCCTGAAAGGACTGAACTGTTTAAAGCATCCCAAGGGATTTTGTAGCAGACTTATTTTTCCTTTGAGATGGGCCCTCACTAAGTAGCTCACACTGGCCCTGAACCTGTAATCCTCCTGTCTCAGCCTCCAGAGTGCTAGAACTATAGGCAACGCCATCATATTCAGCTCTTTAAACTTACACACAAAATTACATAGCATGTAACATACAATACTGTTTATATTGACTAAGCATAGATTGGGTTTATTTTTTTTTTACTTTGGTACCAGACACCAAACTCAGGACCTTCTGCTTGCCAGGCAGGCTCTGTGCCCCTCAAGCTACATCCCTGGCTGGATTGTGTTTATTTGGAACAGATTAGTAAATCCTTATTAAACAGATTGTGTCTTATAATTACTAAAAAATAAAGCACAGTCACCGTGGGAAAAGGCACTGAAGCGCCTACAGTGGCCGTGGCCCGGGCGCCACCCTGCCCCACCTGTGCACACTGCCTCTGCCAGAAGGAGGTGCCCCAGGGCGCCCCCTAGGCCTGCACCACACCCCTCAGGCGCCGATGCGGCTCCCGGAGGACCGGGCTTCACCGGCGCCTCGCACAGCCGATCAGCCGATCACCTCGCACCGTAAGCTTGGGCACCACATGGACACTCACTGCGTGTTCTGCTTGCATGACTGGCCAGCTCCACTGTCTTTTAAACTGGCCATGTGCAAGGACAGTGCTTGGGTCACACAGGACGAGGCAGGTGGCAGTGCTGTGGCTGAGAGGACCTGGCCTCTGCAGCGCTCTCCCCACAGCAGTCTCAGGCACGGTGTGTGCTAGAAGGGCTCTGGCCTTTATCCGTAAGGGGGCACGGACTGGCTGCTGCCCAGCTACCGGGTGCGCAGGGCTGAGCACAGCGCCTGCTGCCCTCCTCCTGCCCGCCCTCCTCACCTGGTCCGCCACTCGGTCTCCTCCTTGGCGCGCTCCCTGCGGGCTTCTCTCTGCTTCTCCTCGAGCCGCTCCTTTTCCTGGCTGGCCAGATCTAGGTCCGAGCAGAGAGGCTCTGGGTGAGGGTCCCGCCTGCACCAAGCTTCTTGTTATTCAGGGATGCGGGACGCCAGAAGCCTCCCCGACTGCCAGAAGGTGCACCCCACCCTGGCTGGAGCGCTGCAGGCAGTGCTGCCTCTGCCCTGCTGAACGTGCAGGAGGGGACTTCCCGAGGACACACAGGAGCCGCTGCACTGGACAGCAGCAGTGCTCCAGGGTCAGGGGCCACAGTGCGCCTGATGCCTGAGGAGCAAACGGGCAGCAGGGAAAGTCAGCTCCCACCGCCCTAAGTGGGAGCCTCAGTGCCGCCTTCACACAAGACGAATCCTGTGTCACTACGCCAGGCCTCCAAGTGGCCGTGGCCTCGGGTGAACTCCCTCAGCGCTCACTCTGGGTGGGAGAGAGTGGAGCTCCGCAGCAGCTGAGAGGCTGCATTCCCCCGGCCTCTCCTCCACTGCAGCAGGGCCGCAGCAGGCGTCGCCCTTGCTCTGGTGGGGCTCTGCCATCATGCTGAGGACTCCGGGAAGCAAGAGCCAAGCTCACGGTCACATTGACACTGAGCACAGTGTCAATGTGTGACAGGCAGGAGCCACACAGCGACTTGTGCCGCAGGCGTGCGTTAGCTCATAGCTTTAAGATGTAATCTTGGGTTGTGGAGATAGCTTGTGGTCTAAGTGCCTGCCAGGCACGCTCAATGACCCAGGCTCAATCCCTGGTACCACGTGCTATGCTATGCCAGTCTCAAGCTGAGCCCGCCACTGAAACCGGCTGTGGTGGTGCATGCCTATAACCCCAGAGCTGGGGAGGCCGAGACAGGAGGATCATTACAAGTCTGAGCTGTGTAGTGAGATCCTACACAGGGATTATTAAACAATATTAAAACAATCTCAGAGCTGAGTGCAGTGGCACACACCTGTAATCCCAGCATTCTGGAGGCTGAGGCAGGAGGATTGCCATGAGTTTGAAGGTAGGCTGGGCTACATAATGAGTTCAAGGCCAGCCTGAACTACCCAGGGAGACCCTGCCCCCGCCAAAAAGAAAAAGTAATCTTAATATATAACACATTTTATAATAAAAATTAGACACTCATTTTATGTATGTTCTTTACATTTCTTTTTTGTTGTGTGAATTTTGTAGCCTTTACATTGAGTTACATGATTAGCCCTTTTTATCTTGAGCCAGGACCTTGCTAAGCCACAAAGTTGCCCAGGCTGGACTTAAATTTGCAATCCTCCTGCCTCAGGGTGCAGGGGCCCTGCGCTGTCAGTTGCTTCTAGTAGGTGAATTCACTGTGTTCACAAAGGGCTGTTACAGCCCTGAGCACAGCTGCGTGAGAGACTGTGTACAGAAGGCCCGCTTGCTCCGCGGCTCACCTGGAGGTCTAGGGACCCTTCTGGACAGAGCCCTCGTCCACCCAAATGGCTCTCCGCGAGGTCCAGCACATACATACCCATGTTGCCGTTCTCCATGCCGCGGATGTCCGGGCGCAGGCGGCAGTCTGTGGGGGGCAGGGTCTTCTCCATGCCTGACTCTAGTTCATTGAGGCTCACAGTAAAGCTGGTAAAATTGTACATCTGTAAAGTACAGGAGCGTCCCTGCCAACGGCCCTAAGCCACGGCCACCTAAGCTCACTGCACATGGCATGTCATGAGAATGGACCTGCCAGGGACTCAGGGCCCATGAAGCCCGCACCTCCCCCACCCATGGGCTCCCCAACACCACTGCTCTTTCAACGGTGAGGTTCCGCGTGCAGCCCAGGCTGCACTCTTAGGGCACAAGGTGCACTGCACCCAGGAAGCCCGCTCTCAGCCTACACCGTCTCAGGGTCACTGACCGGGACACCTGTATACTCAACATCTTTGTCGCCCATCATGGGTTTGAATTAAGGACTCTTGTAGTGAGCTACACCCAAGCCCTTCATATGTATTTATTTTGAGACAAAGTCTCACTAAGTCACTAAGTTGCCCAGGTGAGGCTCAAACTTGCCATTGTCTTGCCTTAAGCTCCCAGAAGGAGGGACTAACAGTGTGTGCGCCTCACCTGGCTTCACCCTCGTGCCTGAAGGAAGCTCAGGGTAGCACACCACAGTAGGCCTGCAGCCTGCTGCACACCTGTGCCTTCCGGCCTGGCTCCTGCACCCTCCCAACACTGTGACTCAGGAGGTGGCTCCGGGTCACAGACACGCAAACCCTATGTGCTTTCTGGTGCTGCCCAAAGCATCAGGTGAGGGTGCCTTTGTCCCCAGCACCCCTGCCCTGGCGGTCCCCTCTGAGGCTGCAGACGCCGTGGCTCCCCTAGGCTCCTGCAGCCCCTGCCCTCTCCATCAGTGCAACATCCCCATCCCCAACACCTTTACGGTAAGACCACGCTAGCCCTGGAGCGTGTCTCCTGCCTGCCACAGCCCCCTGCTGGACTGGAAACACTGGGCGAGCCCTGGGCCAACCCTTGATTCCCTAAAAAATAATTTGAAATAAAGACAAAAAATTGAAATAGCACCATAACACCCCTCAAATAGCGACAGTGGCCACATGGCAAGGACCTGCTCGGGGCGGCCCGCGCTGCTCCCTGTTTCACACACTCTGCTCTGCATGGACGGTGACAGCACAGGGGAAAGCGATTAAGCCATGCGTCTGCAGGACACCAGAGCATGACCGGTGACAGGTACCTCAGTTATACAGCATATTACGTGCGTCTCATGCCTCATTTTTATGCACTTGTACTAGATGTGATTATATGTACTACAATAAATTTGTATCCAATAAAAATTGTGTTTTGTTTGGTTTGGTTTGCAGTACTGGGGATCCAGCTTGGGACCTTGCACTTGCCAGGCAGGCACTTATCTGCTGAGCTATATCCCTTGGCTGTAATAAAAACTGTAAGTAGTTTACTAAAGTAAATGCCACAAAACAGTTGGTATCTACACTGCCATGCAGGCTGTGCCCAGCTGTAGTGCCAGCCGGTGCTCAGAAGACCATTTAAGCCCAGGATTCCAAGACCTGCCCCAGCAAGTGAGATCCAGTATCAAGGATTAGACAGATTAGAAAGAGAGACACAGAGGGCAGGAACCCGGCCCTTTCTGAGTCTAGAGTCCTCTTTTGCCAAGAGGCAGTCTGGGCAGCCCTCTGAGGACACAGCCTGGTGCGCGTGGGCCTGGGGACACCTGTGCTGCGGCTGTGCACAGATGCGGCCAGAACCAGTTCCCACGTGCACAGAAGCACCACAGAGAGGGGCAGGGCTGCAGCCCAGGCACAGCTGGGTGCAGCTCTAGAGATCAGAGGCCCCTGGGGCTTGGCTGCAGAAGAAGACACAGAGGTGCGGCAAGACATCGCTGGCTCGGAGACCACCAAGGTGAGCCAGGGACGCAGGGCGGCATGGAAGCCCCAGCAGGGGCGCTGAGGCGTGAGGAGCACAGACCTGGGCAGAGTTGGGGGGCCGGCTGTTGATCCTCCAGAGCAGCTTGCTCCCAGGAATGACCTGCACAGTCTCCTGTGCCACGGGCATGTCGTCCGCCACATCGCTATCTGGTCTTTCTGGGCCACCATCCTGAAACACAGTACACCTTGGGACCCTGCCTCCACAGAGCTGCCAGCCGGAACTTCAGACCTATTCCTAAGTCCCTCAGCAGAGCAAGACTTTTTTTTTTAAACCAAGAAGAAAACCCAATTTCCTCCCCCCCGGTAATGTCCACTACCCTCCGTGTGTAGAAGGGATGAGGTCCCTCTCATATGGACTCAGCTCTCTGCAGGGCCACGCTGCACTGGGCTTCTCCTATCCCAGAGAGAAGAGATCCCTGGGCGTGGCTGCAGGCACTCTGGGCTCTCCTCTGAGTGCCAAACGACCACAGGGAGGACGAGGACGCCCTCCTATCAGCTGCGTGGCTCAGAGTCAAGCATGGCAGATGGAGGGGCTTCCCCAGATGCTGCTGCTTGCCCTCAGCCAAGCAGGTCCTGTGGCTGGGTCCACGGTAGCTTTGGAGACTGAGTCTAATGGTCCACACCACCCTTCCCAGGGCACAGCGGCTCCCCTGTCTCCAGGCAGGGCGGGGAGGTGGCAGAGCCACCCTGGATGTCCCCTCCCCTGATGCAGCAGAGCCTCCACCACTCCCACAAGGGGAGCAACCCCGCAGAGCGCTTAAGTTCTAGGTCAGCCAAAGGGACCGCAGAGCTGGTGAAGCATCACGTGCCACCACCAAGTGAGCTAACATTTCAAATATGTGCAGCCTTTAAGTAACCCTTTTGCTTTAAACAAGAGAATCATTAGAAAAGATGTCTAAAATGGCTGGCGAGATAGCTCAGCAGACTAAGTGCCCGCTTAGGCAAGCACAGGAGCAGGGTTTGACCTCCCACATCACACGCGGCACCAGCCCCACCTGTGGGCGGAGCTGAGTCTGGCGTGCTGGCGCACACCTGTAATCCCAGCTCTAGGGAGGCTGAAAATGGAGGATCACTACGAGTCCAAGCAGCGTGGTGAGACCCTGTACCAAACACATTTAAAAAAAAAGATGTCTTAACAGCACACATGAAATAATGTATAAAATGCAAGAGTCCTGGAGGAGGATGAACCTTTTTAAAAATAAATGCTCAACACCTTGGTTTGGTATAATCCCACTGGCTATCTAGAAAATATGACACATCTTTTGACTTTTGCACATATTATCTAGTGCTCAGAACTGGAAAAACAAAATGAAATTTGCCTGACTTTTAAATAGATCTAAGATGTCTCAAATGAAAGAGACTAAGAAGGAGCTAGAAGCTAGAGTTTCCAGAAACGAAGTGCTCTTACATGCAGTCTTTTCCAGCCCTGTGAGGAAGCCACCACTTAGGACAGCAGCCCCGACACACAGAACACAGAAAGCCCCCGCCGACACCAGAGTCCAGACCGAGCAGCCGCTGCTCCCCATGACACGCTCCGCCCTCAGCTCTCCGGCACAAGGCAGGCCGGCAGGAGCTGTGGCCCTCCCCCACTCAGGTCACCTGCCAGGTGGGCCTGGCCCGCGCTCACTCACCAGCTGGGCTTTCCTCAGCTGGTCGCCTCTCTTCTCCTGCTTCCTGAAGGACTCATACGAAGCAGGCTCGATGCCCCACAAGCATTCCGTCCACTTGCCATAGATTATGAAGAGCTTCTTTTTGCTGTAAAAGGGAGTTTACAATCCAGTTAAGAGCAATTACAAGCCATTCATCTAAACACAGCTCCTTCATACTGACCACTTCATCTTCTGAGACAACCCACAATCCAGTAAAAATGTTTGCCAGCTGTTTCTCACACAAAGGATTACTATTGAGAATGTATAAAGAACTAAAAAAAAAAAAAGACATCCCAAACTTAAAGACACAATCAAAAATGGGCATCTGAGATGAATACATACTTCTCAGAGGAAATACAAACAAGTAAATACATGAAAAATGCTCAACATCTCTGTCATTTGGGAGATGTAAAGTAAAACAACTTCCATCCTGGAAAGACTGGCCATCACTAGTAATCAACCAGTAACAAACGCTGGAGGGGCTGTGGGAAAAGGAGCCCTTCTCCACTGTTCCACTGTTGGTGGCAGCGCACAGCGGCACAACCACTGCGGAAATCAGGGTGGAGATTCCTCACAAAACTAGGATTGGACGTCTGACTCGACCCTGCTATTCCCCTCCTGGGTATCTTCCCAAAAGAATTAAAAACATCATATGATAGCCCCATGATTATAGCAGCACAATTTGTCATAGCTAAGTCTTGGGAACAGCCACAACAAAAAATAAATGAATAAATCAATCTTGGGAACAACCAAATGCCCATCAACCAAGGAATGGATAAAAAAGATGTGGTCTTTTCATACAATGGAGTCTGCTCAGCTATAAAGATAAACTGGAGACTTTTACAAGTAAATGGATGAAACTTGAGACCATACCCATCAATGAAGTAAACCAGACACATATATAAACATCGGACTGTTTCCTTAGTGTGAAAAGCTGAAAGAAGAGATAAGATCCAAGCTATACAACAGATACAGTAAAGTGGAAAGAAACTTCAAAAGGAAAGAGACTGAGATGGGGGAATGGAGAAAAGCAAAATACAAATATATATAATAGGGGCCGGGGAGATGGCTCAGTAGAATATGTGCTTCCCTGGCAAGCACAAGGGCCTGAGTTCAACCCCCAGTTCCGCCAAAAAAACAAAACAAAAAAAACCCAACCAACCAACCAAACAAATATATATGATAGTTTAGGAGCCGGGAACATAGCTCAGCAACACAGTGCTTGCCTGGCAAGTGTATGGTCCTGAGTACAATTCTTGGTGCAAAAAAAAAAAAAAAGTTAAGATAGTTATACTATTAATTTCTCTTAGTTTATTGAAAAGATTTATGGTACTACTGCTTGAACAATTAAATGACATTATCTTGTACTCTGAGTAACCAATTTAAAGATAACAATATACAATATATCAAGCTTGTTACCTTTTCATTATCTTGCTTTGAAATTTTTTTTCTTCATTTATTTATTTTTTAATGTATTCAGTACAGTGTCTACAGGGTCTCACTATGTACATTGGACTCATAGTGATCCTCTTTTTTTTTTTTTGCGGAACCGGGGATTGAACTCAAGACCCTTGCGCTTGCCAGGGAAGCACTCATTCTACTGAGCCATCTGCCCAGCCCCCGTAGCGATCCTCTTGTTTACAGCCTCCCAAGTGCTGGGATTACAGGCCCATGCCACCACACCCAGTCTCAATTGCCATCTCAGAGTGCCCCAGGGGTGGGGCTGGCACAACAAGCCCAGGGATCAAACTCCCAGCCCCTGTTGTCTGCCTAAGGCGATACTTTAATCCACTGAGCTATTTGGCTGGCCCTTAAATAGATTTTTTTTTTTTTCCTTTTTGAGGTACCAGGGATTGAACTCACGACCTTGCACTTGCCAGGCAAGTGCTTATTCTACTGAGCTATCTCCCCAGTCCTTTTTTTTCCTCTTTAAAATTTAAAAAAATTTTAAAAAAGAATATTTCCTGTTATGGTTTAAGCCTCATGTAAGTTATGGGGCAGATACTGCTGGTGCAAACTGTTAAACTGGCTACCCTGTGCTTTCTGAGAGTTGTGGACACTGCAGTGTCCCAGCCTCTCCTCCAGTGTCTTGAAACTTCCAGTAACTGTGAGCTAAATAAACCTTTCCTTCCCTCATTTTGAGTGTCAGGTATTTGTCCCAGCAATGAGAGAAGAGTAACTAAGACAAAATTTGGTACCAGGAGTGGGGTCATTGCTGTGGCTAAACTTGACCATGCAGATTACCAGCTTTTGGGAATGGCTGATGGAAGGAGACAGGAAACAGTTGGAAATGTCACCTACAAGAGAAGTGCTGCAACAGCTTCGGCTGTTCTGTAGGGGAGATTCTGGTCAGAGCTCAGACCGGAAGACTGACAGAAAGCCAACCTGTAAAGATCAGGCTGGGGAGGTTTCTGCTGGGAAGAAGGACTGCACTGGTCATTGGACTCCAGATCATTTGTGGTTTTTTTTTTCAGAACTGGGCATTGAACTCAGGCCCTTGCACTTGCCATGCAAGTGCTTATTCTATTGAACCATCTCCCCAGCTCCTCATTTGTGTTTTGGCTTGGCAGAAAGTTTGTCTGAATTTTGCCTGTGTCCAGAGACTTTGCCTGAGACTGAAATTAAACACGGAGGACTGATTAATCTTTCAAAGAAATCTCAAAGCAGTCAAATATTGGGGCAGTGGTATGGCTATTGTTGGGGGCTCTTAGTCAAATCCATGTTGAGAATGAAGAGCAAAGAGCCCAGCAGAATGATTTAAAATCTTGTGAGTTTAGCCAGAAAGAAAGTGCCAGGAAGGCTGTGGACCGCAAGGATAGAGCTGAGATCTCCATTGCCCAGGAGGAACAGAAGAGTAGAAAAGATGTCCTGAGGGCATCACAGGGGGTGGCAGGTTCTCGCCCTTTGCAGCCTCAGAATCCCAAGGATGAAGGACACCAGATTACAGAATGGCACCAGCACAGAGAATTTGTTCCTCAGAATCAGGGTCAGAGTGCTCAGCAATCCAGGCACTCGACCCCTGCAGCCAAGAGAGAGGAAAGCCTGGCTACTTCTCCAGCTGGCAGCAGACCTTGGCATCATCCACGTGGCCCTGGTTTTAGGTGCATTCAGAATGCAGGAGTTCTGAGATTAAGAAGGCTTCCACCTCGATTTCAGAAGGCCTGGGAGGCCAGGCAGTGTGTCCCTGAGAGGGCAGCATGGGAAGCTGTGAGAAGCCTATTCCATGGAAAGCCCAGAAGTTTGGAAAAGCCAGGAAGGTGGATCATCTAAGCCAAACTGCAAAGAGGGAGCAAAGCCTGCCTATGAGAGAAGCCACGGGAGCTACCACCAAGACTGCCATAGAGGTGGAACCACAGGGAGTTCACAATTTGCCACAGATTGCTTTGGATGTTCCACAAGGACCTGCAGGACTTAATGTTTGCCCTGGTGAATTTTGGACTTGTTTTGGCCCCAATGGCTTGTATCCTCCTGTATATACCTTTTGGAATGGCAATGTTTATCTTGTGCCTTTGAATGTTAGATGTATTTAACTTTTCATTTGTACAGGGGCTCACAGTTGAAAGTTTACCTTGGATCTTGGAGGAGACTTGGGACTTGGACTTTCAGCAGTGCTAAGACTGTTGGGACTTTGGCAACTCTTAGAGATGGACTAAAATGCCTTTTGGACAAAGGGATGTGCGTGAGACTTTGAGAGTCCAGAGGGCAGAATGGTATGGTGTGTAGTTGTTCCCCCAAAGCCTCATGTAAGTTGTGGGGCAGACACAGCTGGAGGAGCAATGAGTGGCTTGAGGGGCGGGGCCAGAGGACCAGAGTGGGGCCAGATAGTCCCAAATCATTAAACTGACTAGCCTGTACTTTCTGAAAGCTGTGGAGAAGGTCATCCTGGACACGGCAGTGCCCCAGCCTTGCTGGGGAGAAGTGCAAAGAGGAAAATGTGTAGTTTAGGACCTTATGCCATCTGAGAGCAACTATTTCTAAACCTGACACACCAAAGCAGAGAAAACAATGAAGGTAAAAAGCCTAAAACAGGGCAATAGGGCTGCAAGGAGGATTAAAAAAGGAGCCAAGGATTAAAAAATGAGCACATATCTATTTATATCTATTTTTCTGAATTTAAATTGGCACGGATCAATCATTTGTGTTTTGTGGTGCTGGGGATGAAACCCAGGCCTCACACACACTAACAAGTGCTTACCGCTGACCTATGTTCCTGGGCCATCTTATGATTTCTTTCTTTTTTTGGTACCCAGAACCGAACTCAGGACCTCGTACTTGCCAGGCAGGTGCTGTGCACTGAGCTATCTCCTGGCCCCATATTACTGTTTCTTAAACTGGACTTTCAAGTGCTGCATGTCCTTTGGAGCTTTGTCTATCGGTTACATCAACAACACTTCCCATGTTGAGCTGATGGCCAGTGATTTCTCTGCCTAGTTCCAAAAGGAACGGAAGCCACCACAGCGCTGGCCCTCTGCCTGGGAAGAGCACACACTGGTCTCTCACTCTCAGGAAGCGCTGCTCTGACAGGCTTGTGCCACTGGGGGAGGACACAGGTCTCAATGGCAACCTGCACAGCCAGCACAAGGGACTCATTAGTGGAGACGGCATGGTGGCCAACAGCCCTGTTCCTAGGAATGGGCACATTCAGATTCAGAATGGAATTCCCCAAACCCAAAGAGAAGTCCTGGCGCTCTCAGCTGCATAGCACCAGCCACCCTCCGCAGCCCAGGGTGACTCTGGGAGAGGAGACAGCCACCATGCTGCTATTGCCCCTCTGGCCGGCCACCCTTAAAGGCTGTATGCCTGTCCTGAGACATCTCCTAGAAGTGGCCCATCTGATGGCATTTACAGACAATCTGAACAGGTAAACTTCTGGTGCTCAAGAGCAAATGGGTAAGGCAATTTAAAGTGTTTTACACTGGAAAACAGATCTTAAGAGCTGGAAAGAATCACTGACATTATACAGTCCAAATCCCTTCCTGAAAAAAGAAAGAAATTTGAGACCCAAATGATAAAGCAAGCAAGCCAGAGCAGGGAAAAATTCTCAAGGGCCTGACCATTTCTCCACCCACATAAGCTTACAGACCTGTATCTCTGGCTTACACCCTGGAATGCAGTCGGCGTTCAGGAAGGAGACGTCGGCAGAGGGAAGGAAGCACACAGTGGGAGCTTTTACACCTCGGCGCTGTCTGCAGAGCTGTAGCACTATCTCGGTAACAAGGTCTGGCGTCTTGGGGCAACTTGGTCCCCCACCCCCTGGAGGATGGGCTGTGCTCTCGCCCTCCCCTAAATCTATACTTGAGACCACTTCCACTCCCTCTTCCTGAGCAAAAGGAGCCGCAACTGATCCCGCCGGAACAGACATGACTGCCATGGTGCCGTGTGCACATGCCGTGCAGGCTCCCACGGCTCGGCGCACACCTACTTTTTATCTTGAATGTGCCCTTCTACTCTGTGGAGCTCTTTCCCAAACAGGCCGCATGGCTTGAAGTTAAGTACACACTTATCACCGGTTCTGTAGGGAAAACAAACACAGATTTCGTCTGTGAGCTGAGACACTTGGAGAAGGCCAAACTACGAGGGAGGAGGAGAGGGGCTAGGCCAGGAGTGTGGGGTGGCCGAGGAGGGCCAGCAGCATCACAAAGCTCTCCCTGGGGGACAGAAGTGCTTGACAGCTGACCTGGGGTGATGGTGTACACTGTGTAAATATACTAAACTATCACTTGGGTGCCCATTTAAAATGGATGAACTAGGGGCTGGGGAGATGGCTCAGTAGGATAAAGCGCTTGACTGGCAAACGCAAGGACCTGAGTTCAATCCCCGGTTCCACCAAAAAAAAAAAAATAATAATAAAAATAAAATAAAAAAAATAAAATGGATGAACTCATGGGGGTTATAAGGGCGCGCTCTCTCTCTCTCTCTCTCTTTTTGGCAGAACCAGGGATTGAACTCAGTCCCTTGTGCTTGCCGGGCAAGCGCTTATTCTACTGAGCCATCTCCCTGGCCCCCTCTAAGTGATCTCTTCCTCACAATGTTAAGAAACAAAGCCAATGCCCTCGGCTTCTGCACCGCTGTCTGGACGCGGCATACTACTAAGGGTGGTCACTGTGCTTTCGTCAGCAGTGACACCTCTATCCAGGTGTTCCGAACTGAACCACTGTGGTGAAGAACAACATCACCATGGCCGCTCGAGATGGCCCTGGCACTGGGCCCGTGCGCCGGCGCCTGCAGGAGCTCCCAGGCACGGAGCCCTGGAGGGTGAGCAGGGCAGAGGCCAGCAGAGGCGGCGGCTCCCCCACGGCCCAGCCCGTCCTGCACGCACACCAGCGGATTACCTGTGGTTTAGAATCTCCACCACTCCATACTGCTCTATCCACAGCTTCCCAATAATGACATTGTGCACACAGCAGGTAGGGTTGGTCCAGGTGTAGGCTTCATTGTGTCTGAAACGAGTGAGTGAGGGGCAGTGAGCACAGAGCCTACGTGACCTGGAGCACCTCGCCCAGACAGCCAGACGCAACCTCGCAGCCTGCGAGGGGCAGAATGCCCCTTTGAAGTCCTCCAAGCAGGCTATTTAGTTAGCATGCATTTGAAATTTATTTTTTCTTTCCTTTGTAGCATCAACAAAGCTTTCTACTTAAATGTCAAGACAAGTTAATAAGCAATGAAAGAGGACTGAGACAAAGGGAATGGCTTCCTGTGAAGCTGTCAGAAGAAAAGCCACTTGGCATACACCGCAGCACCGCCCAGCCTCAGGCAGACCCTGGCCTTGAGAGGAGGGGCACGCAGGCCAGGAGAGGACCGCTGTGTCTCAATACCCTGCACCCCTTTCTACTTCTCACCCTCCAGATGGCCCTGCCCTAGAAGAGCCTTACAGATGTGAGATGCAACAGTTCGCCAGGCCCGAACCTCCAGACAGCATTCGAGAGCTAAGGACAAAGGTCAGCTCAGAATAGGGACAGCTCATGACACACCATGACTGGTGGGACCCAACCATGTTAATCAACGAAGTCTGTAGACCCTCAGGCGTGGTGATGCAAGCCTGTAATCCTAGCACTCAGGAGACTGAGGCAAGAGGACTGTTGCGAGTTCGAGACCCGCCTGCGCTATAAAGTGAGCTCAAGGCCAGCCTGAACTGCATAGTGAGACCCTGTCTCAAAAACAACAACAACAACAAGAACAAAAAGTTTGTAGCTGGGTACGGTAGCATACACTGTAACACCAGCTACTTGGAAGGCTGAGGCAGAAGAGTGTGAGCTTAAGGACATCTATGCAACTTGATGAGGCCCTATTTCAAAATACAGTAAAGAATGTTTTAAAGGGCTGGAGAGATGGCTCAGTGGTCTAAAGCATCTACTTGAAACAAGCTTGGCAAAGCACAGGGACTGCGGTTCAATCC